CGTTCCATGTAGTACTCTGAGAAATATATTGAGTATGTAGATGCACAGCAGATAAACCCTTGGGTGTTGGATATGGTTTCAAAAGCACGCACAGGTAGATGCAGGGGTAAATGCGTCGCAACAAGTCTCAGCGTGGAATCCGATGCAATCCCATCATCCATCCAAGTTTCATTAACTAATCTATCCCTGTCAGCAGATACTACTACTTACTACTTACTAACCAGATAACTAGATAGTTCCGCCACGGGCAACACGGCTGTACCCGTGACAGATCCCAGATGACTGGTATTTAAATATACATTCAGCCATGTTGTGCCTGTACTTTTAAAAGACTGATCCATTGGCATGCCATTAGTTTGGGGATGCTATGATGATGGTGGTGGTGATGGTGGAGGAGGAGGATGATGGATGGTTGACAGGTGATTGATCCGAAATAGTTAGTAGTAGTTGTTGGTCCAAGCATGGATGTTGATCATCTTCCCCGAATGCTGTCCGGTGATCAGCATAGTCGCCTCACTGTCCACTCAGGATGCTTTTCTGAGTTGATACTACTTGCTACTATACAAAATACCTGGAAACAGGCAGTCATAGCAACTTAACGGCTTCTAGGAACTACAGCGATAAATGATCCTGGTCCTGCAAGCTGATAGTAAGTAGTTGTTCATTCATGCAGACGGGTAGGTAGCTTTCTTTAACATTCTTCTTCCTTTGTTGCTGCTGAAGCTTAAATTGTTGTAGACCGGGCCATACTACTACTAGTACTTAGCTGCTATGGACTGGGTCTTGCTAAGAAGTTATGTATGTTCAAATCCGTAGCAAGTGAATCTACGGTGTAGGAACTGTGCTCTGGGGCGTGGTTAGCTTCCGAAGTGGAACCAGAGGCATTTATTCCTTGACCCCATCATGATGTTTAATGAGCATGCGAAAAATGAAATTGGTATAGAATGGTTGCTAATTAGTTTGATTAGTTGAGATCAGTTGATGACATGCTTCACTGTCTGCATCAAAGGTGGGAACACTCATGGGACTAGTTTCAGAATCCTAGACGATATGGCGGGAATGTGGCTGGGAATTGGGGGTGGAGGGAGGAGGGAGGGTGGGAGAGCAAAAGAAGGTGAGGCCGAGCAAGAGAGCTCTCTCTCTCCCACTCTCTCTCTCATGAACTAATGACGGGCATGGATACTAAGTGGACTAGTGACGAGTGGTTCCATCCAGAGCTGTTGCCCAGTGGGGCCGCCCGACAGAAAACGAGCAAGCGAAAAGCAAAGCAATGACGAGCAAAAGATAAACAACCGGGGAGAATGTCCCCGGTCGGGGGATGGGACCTTCTGGTTGATAACGGCGGTGACAGATCTACTATGTAGATATTAGATAGTAGTAGTTTAGACGACAGAGTTATGAATCTAGTTGAGCAATGTTAGTTCAAGATTGAGTAATATCATCACCTAGAATTAAATGAATAGAACACTACTACCTTCAACTAATAAGGTGGTTGGTGAATTTAGAGCTTCCCCTGCCTGTTTTTTTTCTGCGCGTTATCATTTGCCCGACTCCAAAGTGGTGCTGGCGCGGGTTCTTACTTTACCACTAAACTGCAGTAACAGTAGTAACCATTACCACTGCGGGAAACTAACTCGCAACCAGACTGGCTTGCTTCTTTCATCTCTGCTCACTCACTCTTCCTCCATCCACCCATCCCAGAATCCACTCTGGTGATGAACCTCCATCCCCCTGGGTCTGCCATTCTTCGCCATCTCCCCCTCCCCTTGTCATCTTGCTCTCCCCTCCATTGACTCTGTCCATTGTATGTTTTCCAAAGAGAAAAGCAACGTGCTAAGGGTCCCTTGGAGCAAACGGAAGCTACTTGCCCAACCTGACCTAACCTAACCTAACCTAATCAACCAACCAACCTCATTCCATCTCATCTCCCCTTCCTCCTACTACTTACGACGTCGACTACTACACTACGGCTACGGCAAACCACTCCTCGTACTATCTATCCATCCCTCCTACTTCCCTCTCCCCTCTCAGAAACCATCACGCGCCGGGCCTTGTGTTCCCGTAGCTCCCTCTGCCAGAGCCTCTCTTCCCGTCCCCTTCTTGCGTTTCTCTCAATCGCCATTCGGTCCTTCCCTCGAACTCTTCCTGCTCTTCCCCCGATCGCCTCCCGTTCCCACGTCTGTTCCGCCTCCGCTGCAAGTCTTTGTTGGATGGAATAAGGGAAGGCGACAAGCTTGCTGGCATTAAGGAGCCCGACCTGATCCTCTCCCCTCCCAATCCCATCGGCGTATCTTCCGCCTACTCTTTGCTTTCCTATTCAAACGCTGGCGGGGCCGTCTGTTGGTCCTGCGGGCTCCCCATTCTGAAGGCATGAGCGGAATCACGAACGCCTGTCTGTCCTGCTTCTCGACAGTTGACCGATGGTGCCATATCTCAGCTTGTCTCGGCCCGATCGGAGGCCGCTCAAGGGATGGCATTTATGAAACCACCTTGGCAGACAACGAGCGCGAAGCGGTTTCCGATCTCTTGGGTTACCTTGAAAATGTATGTTCATTGCTGTCGCGCCCTTCAGTGCTGCTTCTACTCCACCCGGCGTTCGCTTTTACTTACAAGTATTCCTTAATAGAGGACCGAGACCGACTTCTTCGCCGGTGAACCCCTTCGGGCCTTGAGCACCCTCGTCTATTCCGACAATGTCGATCTCCAACGGAGCGCCAGTCTGACATTCGCTGAGATCACGGAGAGAGGTACGGCTGATACGCACAGACCTTGTTGTTCCGATGGTGGCTAACATCCGGGGTATTTGCAGATGTGCGCGAGGTCGATCGAGACACGTTGGAGCCCATCCTCTTCTTGTTGCAGAGTTCGGACATTGAAGTTCAACGTGCTGCCAGTGCAGCACTAGGCAACTTGGCTGTAAATGGTGGGTTTCGCTTTCATCCATTCCTCGCGCCAGTAGGCTTACTGACCGGTCGCAGCGGACAATAAGGTGCTGATCGTCGCTCTGGGAGGACTGGCTCCTCTAATACGGCAGATGATGTCACCGAATGTGGAAGTGCAATGCAATGCGGTCGGTTGCATTACAAACTTGGCTACCCATGAGGATAATAAGGCCAAGATCGCTCGATCCGGTGCCTTGGGCCCGTTGATCCGTCTAGCGAAGTCGAAGGACATGCGTGTACAACGAAATGCCACGGGGGCGTTGCTGAATATGACACACTCGGGTAGGTCGCGAGGATCCCAAGATGGAGTGGCTCTGCTAACATTGCGATCCATAGATGATAACCGACAACAACTTGTCAACGCCGGCGCTATCCCTGTTCTTGTTCAGTTGCTTTCCTCCCCCGATGTGGATGTACAATACTACTGCACTACCGCCCTCAGTAACATCGCTGTCGACTCGTCGAATCGCAAGCGCCTGGCTCAGACCGAGTCCAGGCTGGTTCAATCGCTGGTGCACCTGATGGATTCGTCAACACCCAAGGTCCAATGCCAAGCGGCGTTGGCACTGCGCAACCTTGCCTCGGACGAGAAATACCAGCTCGAAATTGTTCGAGCCAAGGGTCTTCCACCCCTCTTGCGACTGCTGCAGTCATCCTACCTTCCTCTTATCCTATCCGCCGTCGCGTGTATCCGCAACATCTCCATCCATCCCTTGAACGAATCCCCTATTATCGATGCGGGCTTCCTCAAGCCCCTGGTGGACCTGCTGGGATCGACTGACAATGAAGAGATTCAGTGTCACGCCATCTCGACCCTCCGGAACCTTGCCGCAAGCTCGGATCGAAACAAGGAGCTGGTCCTGCAGGCCGGCGCTGTTCAGAAGTGCAAGGACCTCGTCCTCCGTGTGCCCCTCAGCGTTCAGTCGGAAATGACTGCTGCGATCGCGGTTCTGGCTCTGAGCGACGAGTTAAAACCGCATCTCCTTAACCTGGGGGTGTTTGACGTCCTGATTCCTTTGACGGAATCGGAAAGTATCGAAGTGCAAGGGAACAGCGCTGCGGCGCTGGGAAATCTTTCCTCTAAAGGTATGACCCCACCGTGTGCAAATGTGTTAATGTGCCCTCCATATACTAACAGGTGTGAATTCAGTGGGTGACTACTCTATTTTTGTGCGTGATTGGGCAGATCCGAACGGAGGTATTCACGGCTACCTCAACCGCTTCCTCGCCAGTGGCGACCCGACATTCCAGCATATTGCCATCTGGACTCTGCTTCAACTTCTGGAATCTGAGGATCAAAGGCTCATCGGATATATCGCCAAGTCCGACGATATCGTTCAGATGGTCAAGTCCATCTCCGACAAGAATATCGAATCGGACGAGGAAGATGCTGAAGACGGGGAAGGCGAGGTCATTGCGCTGGCTCGGCGATGCCTCGAATTCCTTGGGAACGGTCACAAGCTTGTAGAAGCCTAAATATTCCTCCCTTGACCTTTACCCTCACCTCATCTAACGACCTGTGTATGGCTTGGACCAACCCCTTTCACTTCCCTATTTATCTTCGACCGACTTCTTTTCTTCTCTATCTGTGTTCCCACTGCCGTTCTTATCTATAAGTTGAGCCGCCTTGTGTTCCAATGTGTTGACCCATTGATGTCTAGCTGTCCAAGGTGTTAAGCGGGCATGTGCTTCGGTGTCTCTTTTGATTCGTGTCAGCGAGCATTCGGTGTGCTTGAGATCGTTGTCCGTTTGTTGTCTATAGTCACTTCTCTGAGGGAGAACTGACGCTGTGCCGACTTTTAATTGTGTCTGCGCATAATACTGTATTCACCGTTAGAGGATTTCGAGTCTATACTTGCAATACATTGATACCATGATTATAATAGCTATCGTTGTAGATACTTTGTCTACATGACCTGTCTCAGTAACACAAGAATGTATACCAAGGCCTCCTGATTGGCCCGTGCTAGCTGTCCGGAAAGAGTGTTGTTCCGGCCGAGACCGGGTCCCGCCGAAAAAGAAAAGCTTTGCCAGCATCTCGCGTCAACAACTTAAGCTCGACTGTCTCTGAGCCCCTCCCTTCTCTTCCTCCTTTATTTCCCTCTAATATCCAGTCTGTAAGACGCAGCGCTGGAATGGCCACTGCACTACCCACTTTGGCCATCCCAGGCCAGCGCCTGGGCTCAATTGCCTCATATGCCGCCGGTCCTGGTACACACGTGCAGAACGCAACCATCTATGCCTCGATCGCAGGCCCCGTGGTCGTCGATCAAGCGCAACCCAGCTCCAAAGCCAAGCTCATCCTGAGTGTCTCCCGCACAGGCCCCAAGAAGGCAGCTGCACCTGCACCTAGCACCAAGGCGTCCGCCAAACCAGCCACCACTGGAAAGCCCAAGCTGAGATACAACACCCTCCCCGCCGTCGACTCGGTCGTGTTGGCTCGCGTCACCCGCGTTCAGAAGCGACAAGCCACCGTGTCTATTCTCGTCGTGCTCGACGAATCTGCTAGCTCTCAGCCTCTCAACCCCGCACAGACTGCATCGGACAATGACAACATCGAAGCTATTCTCTCGTCCGCGGCTAATCCGGAGAACCATAGCAACTCGGATGAACTTCGCTTCCAGGCGCTGATCCGCAAGGAGGACGTTCGCGCCGTTGAGAAAGACCGCGTCGTCATGGATGAGATGTTCCGTGTTGGGGATATTGTTCGTGGAACGGTCATTTCCCTGGGTGATCAGAGCTTCTACTATCTTACCACCGCACGCAATGATCTGGGTGTCGTTATGGCCCGCAGTGAGTCGGGTAATATGATGTTCCCTGTTAGCTGGAAGGAGATGAGAGATCCTGTTACTGGGGTCGCGGAGTTGAGGAAGGTTGCTAGGCCGTTTTGAGAGGTCTATCACCTGTTCTGGGGTGAGAGGAATTGATGATACCAGCAATTATGTATGATGCGTTGGTCTGGCCGGGCCTCGATGATGGCTGGCTAGGCTAGGCTATGGCGCTCATCATTAACAAACACAGTCTACTATCTGCCACGGTACGCGCCTAGAGGGGTAACCGGATTGGCTAAGTGACTGATCCCGAAGGAGTCAGGCCCTTGCAGCAGTACCTGAGGTCGGTGCGCTCGCGCTCGCATATGATTAGGCCGGCTCCTGCTTGCTTACAGCTTGCTTTGCTCTGAAGACAGTCGCGGAAGCATGCGAATGCATTTGACTGCCGCCGAGCAAGCAGATTACCACACTCGACATGACTGTACATATTTTAACAGTTGATGTACTCACATCATCGGCTAGTCGTATGACATGACTGCCAGCCCGCTTTGCGGACATCCTAACATATTTTTGATCCTTGGGAGGGATACAAATGAAACCACTTTCACACTTTCTGCTTTCCAGTTACCTACTACCCTAGGACGTCTTTGTTTTTTTTGTTTTCCTCCTTAGTATACATGGCTTTGGCTTTCTCAATGCTAAGCTGTGTTTGTCATGTGAGGTAGATGGACGGTTACTGCGCAAGGTTTTACTCACTTTGCGACCCCTGTTTAGAGCTTCCTTATTCTAATTTTTAGGTGGATTGGGAAGTATTACATACAAGGGCACATACACACATACATATATACCTTTATTGTAGTCAATTCGAAAAAATACCTATAATCCAATTCAACTTTTCTCTTTTCTTTCTTCCTTCTTTCCCCCCTAAATAACAGAATAAACATCTATATACCCCCCAAACAACGAAGAAAGAACTACTTCTTCAGCGTCTTCTGCTTCTCCGCATCAATCAACTTCCTCCCCTGCACAACCAACCCCTTCCTCCGTCTCACATTATCCATATACCTCTTCGCGACATTCTCCCTATCCGCCAACTCACCCAAATCCTCCAACTCCTCCTCCGTCGCGGGGACCCAGAAGGGATCTTCATCTAGCGCCTCAAAGCCCGCAAAGATCAACTGAGGTTGCGCTGCCCCGGACGTCCGCTTACGGATTTCTTCCGCGAAGCCGAATGATTCTGCCACCGGCAGTAGGGATAGGATGGTGAAGAAGGGTGTGCCTTCTTTCATTACTTCGGAGAGGATACGGCCCCGGCGGCGGGTTATTACGCCGTAGACGCGGCCGAGGACTTCGGCTGTTCATTGCTTTGGGTTAGTATTTGGTGAGGGTACGAGGGTGAAGGGGGAGGAAGGTATGGGGTTACGCACTCGAGGCTTGAATCTCGCAACTGTACATGGCTAGCATGATTCGAGGGCTCCAGTCTAGGAATCCTTGGGTGATGCTGTCGCGGACGAGACGGATGGCTTCGCCGGTTAGACGGCCTAGGTCGAGGTCTTCGTCGGCGGTGGTGGTGTTAATGGAGACGGATTCGAGGAATACGGCGATGCCTTGCATGGGTTCTTGGCAGAGAGGACCTTGGCCGGTTGCGAGTTGGAAGGCGTGTGCGATCTTGTCGCTGAGGTCGCGGACCATCAGGGCTTCGCGGGTGCTGGTGTCGGTGTTGATTTGGGGTTGTTGTTGGTGGGGTTCGAGAAGGCTATATATAGGTTTGTGTGTGTTAGATGGGGGAGGGATCTGGTGATATGGGGGTAAGGAGGAGGAGGGGGCATACAATTTCTCGCAGGTGTTGACCTCCGTTGCATCGATGAGGATGTTGGGTCCAACGCGTCGTGGTCCAAAGGCTGTGATCCGCTCGACTACGTCCTTCCAGCGTCCCTTGTCGTCGGTTGATTCGTCTTCGAACAGCTTGGCCAGTTCTTGCTTGAAGTCCTTCAGGGAGAGAGAGGTTGCTTCGCGGGCCTCGCCGGTGGCGTCGCTGGCTTCCATTTGCTGGGAGCTTTCGGCCGTGGTGGTTCCGTTGGTGGGTTGTTCTCCCTCGCTGGACTGGGTCTCTGCCGCTGTGCGCTTCTCGGTTTGCAGGCGCTTGATGGTTCCCACGTGCTTGGAGATGAAGTCGGTGACGGCTTCAGGGAGCGGCACCACGCGGAGACGCATGGTCAGTTGCTTGGATGAAGAGGTGGTCTGGACGCCGCCTCGTCCGAGCTCGGGGTTCTTGGGAGATGCCATTTCGGGGGCACTGATGATGGTTTCCCGGTAGGGCACGATGGTTTGGCCGGTTGAGATTTCACACTTGGCGAAACGTTCGCGGAGATCCTTGATACAACGCTCGAGATGCAGTTCACCGGCGGTCAGGATGACGTGCTCGCCGCTGGGGAGAACCTCGTATTGCGCACAAGGGTCGCTTTGCTCGAGAAGGCGCAGACCAGTCACCATCTTGCTGAGGTCTGCCGGGTTCACGGGCTCCAGGGCGACTCGCACGATGGGTGGTGTGTTGAGGGAGACACCGGCCAAGTTGATGCTGCCCTCGAGCTGCGAGGACAGAGTGCCCGTCTTGAGAACGTGGCCTGCGAGACCGCCAATGCCGAAGACGACACCTGCCGGTACCGACTGGAGAGGTTCGAAGCTGCGGCCCATGAGGAGGTAGAGATCGGTGACGGTAACCTTCTGGGGTACTGGGCTGGCATGCGGGTTCTCCGGCGAGAACTTGGGTGCCAGGACGTACACCGAGTCTCCCACTGAGAGGGTTCCAGAGTATAGACGGGCGAATCCAATGAGATGTTCAGGGTCATCCTTCTCCTCACTCTCGGCCGGTTGATCATCTGATATGGTCGTCCGTTCGAAGGCGGATGTTATGCGAGTATACTCATCTGTCTGGTCGCCATTGGCTTCTGCTTGCATTTTAGCAATCTCCTCTCGCTTCTTGCGAGCAATCTCCCGGGCTTCATCGGCCGACATGGTGCCACCAACTCGCTTCTTGCTCGATCCCAGCTCGCTCTCCGGGATGGACATCATTTTACTGACGTAGGCGATGACAGGCTCGTCTTTTTGGGTCTTGAAGTTAATCATAGCATCCTTCACTTTGGGATCGACGAACTGGGAGCCAGGAGAGTCTTCAATCATGGCTGGCAACCGAGCTGCTTGAGCAGCTGGCGGGCTGGGAAGGTACTCAATTACGGACACCAGCACGGCAGTGGACAAAGGCAGCCACATGGAAAACAGCGTAGTCATGATATTGCGGGGATCGCGCGAGCGCAGGATATATTGGGGAATGTTGATGTTCAGAGACTTGGTGATCTTCTCCAACAAAGCCGGGTCACTGTTCAGATTAGCAGATGTACATCACGTATATACCGTTTTACATACCCCTTTCCTGTGCCTGTGCCTGTTGTAGCCTCGTATGCCGCCCAGATACTGTCCAAGACAAGCTGAACGAACATAGGCTTCAATGCACGACCCTTCAAGTGCTTCGAACCCAGGACTCGCTTCGTTTTGGGATCGAGATAGTAATCTCCCCAGAGCACCTTTTCGAGGACAGTGCGCTTGATTCCGAGCTTTCTTTCGTAAATCGCGGCAAACTGACGGATTGTAAAAGCCCAGCCATCAACAGCACTGCAGAAAATGACGTTGTTCTTTTCCGGCGCAAAGTAAAGATCTTCATCGTCTTTCTCCTCATACTCTGCTGTAGGCTCGTCATCCTGCTCCTGCTTCTTGGAGCGAGCAGCAGATTCATTAGCACGCTCCTCCATGCGCTCTCGCCATTGAAGATCCTCTTCCATCCGTTCACCCTGGTAAAAACTACCAATGACGGCATTGACCTGCTCCAGCAGCTTGCTCATATGGGAGTAAGCCTCGCTGGGACTCATCTTCAGCTCCGTGATCAGTCGATCGATCTTGTTGATGACAAGGATGGGCTTTAATTGCTCCACCCAGGTTTGACGCAGCACCGTGACGGTCTGACTACAGACGCCCTCTACGGCATCCACAAGCACCACAGCACCATCACAAAGACGGGATGCGGTGGACACTTCACTGCTGAAATCGATATGGCCCGGCGAGTCGATCAGATTGATCAGGTACTCTTTCGCCACGGGCGCAGCGTCGGGAGCAGGACGGCGCATCATAGAAAAGAAGAGCGAAATGGCAGAAGACTCCATGGTGATTCCTCGAAGCTGCTCATCTGGACGGGAATCCAGATAGCGGATCTTGCCCGCCAGCTTTGGTGAGATGATGCCATTGGTGGCGATTAGACTATCTGTCAAGGATGTTTTACCGTGATCCTAAATGGGTGTGAGTAGAGAGATTTCACAAATGGATGTAGTCTGATAGACTTAGACAAGCAAAAAGTACATACGACGTGGGCGAGGATGCAGATCTGGAATGGCTGTTAGTGATGGCGGACGGAGCAAATGTAATGATGGAAGTGGGATGGAGGGGTAACTTGCATTGCGGATGTCATCGGGCCTCCGTTGCAGACGGACGAGATCGTCCACGTTAACAACAGGCATTTTGGGATATTGCTGGTGCTGCCAAACAGCTCCCAGAGTCCAAGGTGAAATCCAGGCCGGAAAGTTGCTCTTTCGTTGGGTTTCCGTGCCGCGAACTGCGGAATCTGGTAGAAAAACTTGTCGCGGGAAATGTCGAGCTTGAAGAACTTGCCTTATCCCTCGGATTTAAAGAGTGGAATTCACGCCAGACCGGGATTGTAGGAGATGTGGTTAATATACTATATGTGAAGATTCTTTTACATGGTCTTTAAAGGTTCAAGCCCTTGATTATTAATTGCTGCGATTTTACTATGACTACAGCGGACCCGAATGCCATACTCTCTCTGTTCAATCATCGTCATCATTCTATGGTATCATCCTAACTAAGTATGTATCTACCAAAAATTGAAGAAAATAAGAAGCTGAACAAGCGATACAAAATCTCTTCTTCGGCCATGATAGGGTATCATTATTGTAGTATATAGTGACTCAAATCCTGTCATTATGAGTCATCTTCATCGAAGGATAGCTTGATCTTCTTCTTTTGCTTTGGTTTCCGAGTGCCTGGTTCTTTCTTTTGTATCTTCTCGGTCTCTTCACTGGGAGTATCTTCTCCCACTACTTTGGCCTGTTTCCTTTTCCGTGGCCCACCTATTTCGGCCACGTTCTCTTTGGAGACAGGTGCCTCGGCCTGAGGATTCGCTTTACCTTCTTCGCCCGTCGCAGGCTCTTGTGTATCTTTATTGGAGTTCTCGGTATCCTTGTTATCCTCGCCACGTACTAAGGCTTCATATTCCTCCTTGGAGATGATCTCGTTGCTCTCTTCATCAACGTAGGTAGGGCCATCGTCGTCATTGTCGTCCCTCGGTTTCCGTGGCCGTGCAATGGGTCTTTCGAGGCGACCAGAAGTATCTCCGTATTGGTTCTTCAGTCTCTGTAAGAAGGCAGGCTGCTTCGCCTCTGAAAGATGGTTAGGTCAATACCAACCGGGAGTGGAGACAGACAACGTACCATATGCGAGGTCCTTTGATTTAAAGGACATGGCTGGGTCAGCCGTAGAGTCACTGTCAGCCTATCTCTATTCTATAATAGTCAAGAAAATAGTAGGACTGATGTTACAGCAGCTCAATAGCGAGCGAATGTGGGCAGTATGACGTGACGCTCCTTAGTAGGACACCATGCACAATGCATTCGTATAAAGATATACCGGGTCAACTGTAGCGTAGTAACACAATATATATGCCTCGCTCGCAAGCTACAGACACAAACACCATTTAGATATGAGCATGGAATAGAAATAGAAGGTGACTTGGTATACTCCGTCGAAAGAAGTTGGCTGGCCCGCCAAGGAATCAGTGGGCTGCGGTGCGCTAATCCGCATCGGGCGAGGTCGAAAAGTCCAGAGGAGCCGCAAGCTTCGCGTCGAACCAACCTCGTCCTCCATCAACCAACATACATCAAATACCATGCTCTGCGCAAGTAAGTCGTGCAATGAATTGCTCTTGCTTGTCCAATTACTGATGTTTGATGTGCAACAGTTTCGGGAGAGGCACCGCAAGTGCCCGTCGTCTCGCCCAAGAGCGGTATGTCTCAACCTCGAAAGCATTGATGCGACGTAATGCAGCTAATGCTCGACTAGGCAGCGTCTTTGAGAAGCGACTGATCGAAGCCTACATCGCGGAGAATGGAAAGGATCCCGTGAATGGAGAGGAGCTCTCCACAGACGACCTCATTGACGTCAAATCCCAGCGCGTCGTCCGCCCCAGACCTCCCACCCTCACATCCATTCCTTCGTTGCTCAGTGTCTTCCAAGAAGAGTGGGATGCCCTGGCTCTCGAAACCTACACATTGCGACAGACCCTGGCACAGACTCGCCAGGAACTGAGCTCCGCGCTCTACCAGCACGATGCCGCCGTTCGCGTGATTGCTCGGTTGACAAAGGAGAGAGACGAGGCCCGTGATGCCCTATCCAAGGTCACCGTCGGTGCCAGGAGTGCCGCTGCCTCCGGGGGTGAGGCTATGCAGGTTGACTCGACCGGTCTGCCCGAGGCCGTTCTGGCACGTGTTGAGAGCACACAGGCATCGTAAGTTGCTATGTATAGGATTCTACTGTGTTGGTATATCTAACAATCTACAGGCTGTCCAAGACACGTCGTAAGCGCCCGGTTCCGGAAGGCTGGGCTACGGCTGAAGCCATCTCCACATACAAGCCTACGGAAAGCTCCAAGCCTCTTTACCCCGGCAGCAAGGCTTTCGCCGTGAACTCGTCGGGAGAGCTGGCACTCATCGGCGGCGCGGACGGTGCCGTTGGCATCTATTCCATTCCCCAGAAGCAGGTCGTTCAGAACCTGCAGGCGAACGGGCCAGTTACCGATGCCGTTTGGGCAGGCGAGAAGGCTATTGTGGCATCGTCTACGGGCTCTGTGAAGGTCTTCGAGAACGGCAACGAGGTCGCCAACTTCAACTCTCATGCTGGAGCCGCAACCGCGCTTGCCGTGCATGCTACCGGTGACATTGTTGCCTCGGTTGGCGCTGACAAGAGCTATGTTCTGTATGACCTCACGACGAACTCGGTAATCACTCAGATTTTCAGTGACGCATGTGAGTAGCCCGATGATAAATTGTATGCCCGGACATGACTGACATTTTACTCTTCTTCAGCTCTTCTCTCGGTCAAGATTCACCCTGACGGTCACCTGGTTGCTGCTGGTGGCGTGGACGGGCAAATCAAGATCTTCGATATCAAGACTGGCGCCTCCGCTGCCACTTTCGCCATGTCTAGCCCTGTGAAGTCCCTTTTCTTCTCCGAGAACGGTGTTTTCCTGGCCGCGGTTACCGAGAACTCGACCACTGTATCCATTTGGGATCTCCGTAGCGCCCAGGAGAGCAAGGTTCTGGAGACGGGCAGTCAGGTTGACTCGATTAACTGGGATTACACTGGACAGTTCCTTCTGACCGCCGGACCTAGTGGCTTGACGGTGCACCAATACACCAAGTCCTCCAAGTCGTGGTCCGAGCCCTTGCGGAGCGCGGTGCCCGCGGTTGCGGCGGCTTGGGGCTCTGCCGCCCAGACTATTGTGGCGTTGAACAGCGAGGGAGGCGTGACGGAGCTGACGGCACAGTAATTATGATACCTACTTATGGATACGGAGTGAAAATTCCATTTGTTGTTCTGTATTTCTAGCTGTCGGTGCTACTTTTCTTTTCTTCTCCTTTTTTTGTTGTTGTTTCTTTTTTGTCCCCGGCGTCTTGTTTTTTTTCTCAGACCAAACCCAAAGAATAAAGGAAGGAGAAGCCACCTGGCAACAATAACGAACCCGGATTAAAATGGGATTATCATGAGCATAGAAACCACCAGAATCTGAGTTGTCAGCAGACCTACTACTGCTGTGACAATTGGTGATTGATGGTGACAAGTCATTCACGCAGTGATCGGGGGTGCTGGGCGAGTCGGCGGGAACCCTCATACTACTAAATTATAAGACTAAAATATATTTGTCTCCCCTCCGCAACTGAACCACTCCGCCTGGCTCTGAATTCCCACGGATTACTACCCAGGAATTGCGAGTGCCAGAACTCTTACTAGTACCCAGTAGTACTTGCTCCCAGAGGGTCCGTCCATTCACTGAAGAGTGGCATGCTGGACAAACTCACGGTGTTCAGTGAGGCAAAAAGCAAGTTGAACCGGAGACATGCCACTCCTGACCGCAGGGCACTCGGACCCAGACCACTTCGTTAACACGACTAAGCATGGCGTTCCACCAACCGCAAGTGAGGCCTAACACCGGCTGTTAATAACTCACTACTACCTCACCTTCTTCTTGCCATCAAACCGCCCTCCCCTCGCCCTTCTTCCCTCTCCCACCTTCTCTTCCCCTCCAACACCGTCGTCTTTCCCTGCGGATTGGTTTCCGGGATGAGTGACGATTCAGGTGTCTTGTTTGTGGGCTCTCGCCCCCGAAAGGTTCGTATCAAATCACCCCGTCGTCCCTCGAATCTCCTCATGGAGGCGGGGTATCCCCGTGCTAGATCAAGGGATTGGAGGTTCAACTGACGCCCGACTCCACCTTCCAGAGAACTCATCGCGAGATATCCGAAGTTTCTTCAGGACGTCCATCCGGAGAACCATCCTCATCATCCCTTTCCGCAACACCGGGGCCTTCGTTGCCACCGCTTCGGCGGTACCCCGGGGACGGCCTCGATCTCCGCCGACCGGCCACAACCCAGCCGTCTGAAGATGTGATAGACCTGACCGATGAGCCCGATACACCCTATCAAAATACGTCCTTGCAAGAGTCCCGTACAACAAACGAAGCTTCTCGGCCGCGTCCTCCCCGGTTTCCCAGGGACATCCTCACGGAAGTGGTTGATCTAGAGGAGGAGGTGGACGATAATGACCAGCAACAACCCCCCAGCAGCCCCGAAGTCGAGTTCATCGGAGCCACCGTGAGGCGGCCACAGTTGCCGCCGCCGCCACAACCACCACCTCCGCCTCCGCCGCGCAGCAATGAAGGTTTCTATATGCCCAGCTTGTGGCAGCAGATGCTACAGTTTCGATCCCCGAGACCACCTGTACGGGTTGGAGACCATGGCAGACCGGACCTAGCGTTTCGAGGATTTCGGAGACATCCTCCTATAAGTGATGTGGAGTCATTCTGGATCGGAGATGGCCCGGCGGGCGCCATAGATCTAACGATCAACTTGGATGTGGATGGCCCGTTAGGATTAGACTATCAACTCACGGGCCTGACACGACAAAGGACGCCTGCAAACGCCTACAAACCTCCAAGTCCGCCACCGGAGGGGTTCACCCGAAATGTTGCCGAGGACGATGTGGTTGTATGCCCGAATTGTGATATGGAACTGGGTACTGGTGACGAAACCAAACAGCAGATATGGGTGGTCAAGCAATGTGGACATGTACGTGATTTCCGAGTTGACGACGTTCGTTACCAACTTCTAACCTTGACCGTAGGTATATTGTGGCGACTGTGCCTCGAACCGATCGTTGTCGAAGGCGAAAAAGAACGCTTCTAAAGCCAAGCCTTTCTCTAAATGCCAGGTATTCGGTTGCGGGAAGCCCGTTAGTTCGCCCAAGTCAATGTTTCAAATTTATCTATAATGATGCTGCATACCATCTCTGGCGTTTGCACAGTAATAGCATGTGATGATGGTGGCGCATGGGCGGGGCTTCCTTTCTGATCTTTTACCTTGACATTTACGAGCAACTTTTTGATACCCTCATTGCATTTGTTTCGGTTGGGCGGGATTATGTTTGTGTTTACCTCTATGGCATAGAGAGCGTTTTGGGTATAGGTGGTGGTCCGGTCGGGGCCATCCATGTGGATAATGACACTTTGCTTTCCTGATAATTACCTTACTACATACGGGGAGCGGGCACCCATGTCCATGGGATATCAAATAAAGACATTCTGTACATATGATACATATCGTTCAAACAAAGACAGAGTCGGGTTCGCAAAAGGCAGGTACACAAAACAGATGAAGTAACCCATAATACATCGAATAGGAAATGATATTTGACCCAGAACAAGAACACCACCGTATGATCGCACAATCCCACATCTTTACACCGACTTGTAGCCACCGTGGTACGGGGACCAGATGCCTCTGACACTCTCGTTGATACTCGTGACGGGCTTCTTGGTGCGCTTCAACTTCTCTCCGCTGGCCTGCTTCAACAGATCGGCCTTCTTGCCTATTTGCTCAGGCTCGAGATTCCGCACGCAAACCGCCTTCTCCCGTCCGTTGATGTAGTGTCCCTTAATTACGGGGTGCTTGTGTGGCCGCGGCGATACCCGGATTTCGATCTGAGGGTTTGCTTTCGCGAAGGCAGGAAGGTGGTGCTTGAGGTAGGCACTATCACAAACAAACATCAGTATTTTCGGATCAAAGTTGATCACTAAAGAGAAAGAAGAACATACACCATGCCCCGGGAGCTACCAGCCCAGTCACAGTAGTGGAAATCCAACCGCTTGCATTGTAGGATAAAGGCACCGACACCGTTCTGGATGATGAAGTTAGTCTAAGAGACACAGCCGGACATGATCCCAAAGAAACACATACTCTAGCGGCCGTAACCGTCCGGATCCCTTGTAGAGGCATTGCGGCTATCTTGGATTTGTATGTTCACAGCGAAGGCGTTCAACAGCTTTCCAACAATCTCGAGGGACAACCTTCGGGGACTTTTCAGGGCCGCCTCCAATACAGAGCCGTCATTGGGTGCAGCGGCAAGCTCGGCTACCGCGACTAGCGGTTCCAGAAGCAGACAAGCACCTGACGGGAGGAACGCGAAACTCCCCCCAACGCTGCTATTAGGACCAAGTGACAAAAGACCGCCATATCTCCTCTCCCCCATCTCGTCCTTTCATCCTCGATGCCTCTGAAGGCTTTGAATTAATTTTTCACGTTTATTCAGAGCACTGGCTGAGGGCACAACATGACGGACAAGCTCCCCCCTCCGCTTCTGGCGCTCTTCCAACCTCGCCCGCCTCTGCGTTATGTCACCCCCATCAACCGTGCCCCAGAAGATTGCAAGAAGAGTAGCATCGGTGGTATTGCGCAGTTTCTGCCCGAGGTGAAGAAGTACGAGGAAGAGATTCCATATACACCTACGGAAAGCTGGATCCAGCGCAAATTGCGCCAGAAGGTGGAGAAGAAAGAGAACATTAACAAGCAATTGACGGAAGGCCTCGAGACTTGTATGATCATCGCATCTGTTCTGGGATTTTTCTATGCTAATACTGATGATTTATTGCAGATGAACCATCCAACGACCAACAAGCACGAGGCGATCCGTTCAAGACGCTGTTTGTCGCTCGACTGAGCTACGATGTTAAGGAATCGGACCTGGAACGGGAGTTTGGCCGTTTTGGTCCTATTGAACGGGTACAGTCACAAGCCGAGTGGGCTTGATGGGTTACACACATGACTAACGTTGTTCCCAGATTCGCATCGTGAAAGACACCGTAACGCCAAAGGGCTCGAAGAAACCACACAGAGGATATGCTTTTATTGTCTATGAGCGCGAAAAGGATATGAAAGGTATTGCTACAGATCTAGTCGCCTGTCACTCTGGATTCAGACTGGTATCGAATCCCCGTACTTTCTTGATGCTAACCTAGTTTTCTTTTTGTCACGATTTCAGCTGCCTACAAGGAAACGGATGGTATCCGCATTAAGGACCGCCGTGTCTTGGTAGACGTCGAGCGCGGTCGTACAGTCAAGGGATGGAAGCCTCGTCGCTTCGGTGGTGGTCTCGGAGGCCGTGGTTACACCAAGGCGTTGCCCTCTCGACCTATCGGCCCTGGCTCTTTCAACGCCCCCTCTGGTCCCGGCGGCTATGGTGGTGGATTCCGTGGTGGGTTCGGCGGCAGAGGTGGTTTCAAGGGAGGATTCCGCGGTGACCGTGGATTTGGTGGACCCCGTGGAGGTGTCGGATACCAAGGTGGTCGCAACGGATTCGGTGGAGGTGGACAGGCTCCCCCCAACGCCCCTTCAGGTCCGGGAGGCGGACGCAGCGGTGGATTTGGTGGTCCCCCTGGTGGTGGCAGATTCGAGCGTGAGCCCCGCGGCGCTACTGGCAGCAACAGAGAACCCATCAGGCCCCGGGACGGGTTTGGTGACCGCGATCGTCGAGACCGGGATCGGGACCGCGACGGTGACCGCCACCGGGACCGTGACAGGGATAGCTATCGCTACCGTGACCGGGACCGTGAACGCGACCGCGATCGTGGTGACAGGTACGGAGGCCGGGGCGACGACTACGGGCGGAAGCGATACCATGAAGATGATTCGTATGATGACCCCCGTGCCAAAAGAAGATACTGAACGTCTGTCCGCGAAGGATATCCCCATTCCAGTGTTCAGTGACGGTTTGCTGGTGGGTATCATTAACTTGGTCCTTCTCTTGTTATACCCCGTTGCAGCAATGGGTAAGGCAAGGTCAAATAAGGCTCAAGCTCCGTGCTATATCGGACTTCAACCATCGTATAACTCACAACAGTTGAAGTGCTCCGTATGCATCATCTTTCCTTCGTAATCCTGGTTACGTTACGAGATATCCATCTTCCATTTGAAGCAGGCAGGCGCAAATTTCCCCCCTCGAAGGTCGATTTTCCCGCCGTTGCAGCAGACACAGATACCGCGCTGTTAACGGACACCTCTTTCCCTGTCTGTCATGCTCATGCTCATGCTCTCTTTCTCTCTTGTCTTTGTTACTACGTCCTGTCCTCTTTTTTTTTACTCGTGTCGTTTTATTTCCCTTGGGCCCGTGTCCGGCCGCTACTTCTCTTCAAGGGGTAAGTATGTACTTTAGATAGTCAACACTTTGTCTTCACAGGCGGAGCTTTTTATGGTTTGGGATCTGGGTTTCGTTTTCAGGTAAGAAGATCAGGTAGGGTGCTTTTTTGTCAAAAAGAAAAAGAACTTATCAGTCAGTCATGACCGATTGATTGCCAGCATCATGCAAGTAAGTAAATGAAGGTAAATGATATATCTAGGGTGTACGATGACATATGTAAATATTTCATCACAGCATTGCCATCGTCAGGAGGTGGTGCTAAGTACTATATATACTACTGGTAGTAATGGTAGTCCTCCTAGGAAATTCGATTGGAGAGATGTATTCTATTGTAACTGAACTGTTCGGATTGGTTTATTCATATCGGTATGTCCGTCATACGCTCATCAACTGAAGCAGAATAGTATATACCGAATCAGACACGGAAACACACACACGAGTCGAAAATCGACAATCAATCATTGAAAGAAAACGCCTAAACCCAACTCCAAAGATGCCCAGGGGATCTCATCATCAAAGGGGTGTGGTGTGGGGTGGTGGGAGTTGCTCATCGTATCAGGCCGGCTGGACTTTTTTTCAAATCCACATATCCATAGATAGATTTTCTTTGCTGAAGGAAAAGAAAATCTACCACGACTGAACACCAAGGCAACACCACCACCACCAGCAGGACCCCGACTCTAAAAAAAGAAACCGAATCGAAACTTTTTCTCAAAGCATCATCAACCAACCTCAACAAACTTACTCAACCTCCATACCAGCCTCATCCTTCTCCAGAATCTCCACCTCCCCAGACTCCCTCGTCCAGTGAGCCTTCAACGCAACATGGAACTCAGCCATAACAACTCCGAACATCTTCAACAACGTCGTCTGCCTCGAATCGAGCACCTCTCCCTCCCTGCAAATGGGGAATCCCTCCTGACCCTCCGTCAACTCCAACATAACCTTGCCCTTGACCAACCGGGTCGGGACACCAAGTTTCCGCAACTCCGGCTCAATAGTGTGGCTGAGCGGCTCGTCCTCGGAGGCGGGGATCTCTCCAGCCCGCGAGTACACCTGACCGTTGGGGATCGAGAAGGCCCGGGTACTGACGGTTCCGGAGCGGGCGAAGTCAAGCGGCCGGAAGTTGTCGAAGTAGTCGGTCACGGATTGAGGGTCGCGGGAGGTGAAAAGAAGGCCGACGGCGCCGGTGAGGTAGGGGCTGAGTTTGTGGAGGTTGGGCGCGGCTTCGTTCTCCGGGTTGTGGCCCAGAGCGACGGCCATGACTTTGGTTTTTCCGAAGAAGAGACTGTGTTTTCAGGTGGTTAGTTTAGTTCACTTTGCATGGGTGGTTGTTGTTGGAGGGGAGAGGGGCAGGCGGGGGAGAGCAATGCAGGGGAAGAACTACTAACCGGCTATCGGCGAACTCGGTACGGACATCCTTCAAATAGGTGTTGCGCATGTTGTCGACGCCGAAGACGAACAGGTGGTCGTATTTCTCAATGCATTCCCGGATGTTGGCGTACAGACGACGGGTCTGTTCCTTGTGGGACTTTTTGACGGTCTTGGACTCGTGCACGACGCGGGCACGCTTGGAACGAGGCATGGTGATGAATTAAAGACTGTGGAACAGAAAAACCGGACACAAAAAAAGGATTGTGGAATGAGTGGGAGAAAGAAAGATGAGTAGTTGAAGACGGTGATAATTGCAAAGAGCCGGCGCGGGAAATTGTGGATTCGAGATCCAATGATTTTTTTTCTTTGCGGCTGTCGATAACGCCCGGATTATTGTTGTCGCGCGGCTTATCCGTGCCCCCATCTGCCCTAGTCTGCTTCGGGAAATGAGCTGATTGCGGGCTTCATCTTCAATCCGCTTCATCTACTCACTCTCACTCCCATCGGGATACTCTTCTGCATGCCCAAGCCGTCAATGGTGGGTTGTGTCATGCTGGATGGGTCTCACTACTGAGGCTGCTTGATTCATTCCATTGCTTCCGCACCATCCCCGACAATGCTCGATTTCATGGATTACATCCAACTCGCCTTCGCCGAGGCGACGAATTGGAACCGCGACAACTCGTACTCGTCGCTGACGGCCACTGCGCAGTGTATGCATACCAGCCCTTCTCAGTCTCAACCTCTATCTAAACACCACTAACAACAAGTACAGCCCTCCTCGACTTCTCCACCCCCGAACGCCTCCGCGTCCATCTCTCCTCCCTCTCCACTCCGCACTTCGCAACAAGTTACACCCTCGGCACCGTCGGCCTCATCGACGGCTCCGTCTCCTACCTCTTCAGCACCGTCCCTCTCGACAGCTTCCCCAGCCGAAGTGCCCTAATTCCCCTTCGCAAGCTCTCCCCAGGCTACCGCCAAGTACAAGCACCCATTGCCCCCATCGCCGAAACAATCCTCATCAACGACGACAACAACAACAACCTCAACGATGCCTCCCCCTCCGCATACAACTCCATCGGCAAAAAAGCCACCCTCTTCCACGCAACCCTCCACCTCCCACCCCCGACAACCCTCAATGCCCTCTTCCTGCGTCGTCTCTCCCCAACCATGCAGTTGTCCCTAGCAGTCTGCTCAACGCGAGGTCCGCCGCTCTCCAAATCCGCCCCGCAGGCCTCCCTCCTCGCGCAACTCTCCCATAACACGGGAAAATACAACAACGAGTACCTCTTCAGTACGGATAATGCCCTCTTCGGCTGGCGCGGATTATGGAACTTCGGGCCCGATCCTAGGGATCCTGTCACTTCGGGGTCTTCGCCGAGGTTGTCGTTGCTGTCTGCGGGCGCGGAGGCTTACTATTCGCCTGTTTCGTCGCTGATTGGCATGTCCACAGGACTAAGGTTTAGCACGTTGCCTGCGGCTACGGATGTTCCTTCTTCGTCAGCCCCTTCAACTGGCACTGGTAGTGCTAATGCCAATACTCCCATTTCTACCTTCCCCTACACTCTTACCCTCACCCTGACCCCGTTAACGGGTTCACTATCAACGACGTACTCACTCCGCGCGTCTCCAAACCTGGCATTTAGCTCCCGCTTCGGGTTCAATGTCTATAGCTGGGAAAGCGAGATGGTAGCCGGGTGCGAACTCTGGCGGAAGAGTACGCCCCGATACCGGGATGATGGTGATGGGGTGGAGTGGGCAAAACGGAAGATTCGCGAGAGCTTGTTTCCTCATCCGCATCCGTCTACAGCTACACCTCCTGACGATCTTAAGGATCTAGTAGGCCGTGGGTTGGGAAAGGGGAAAGTAGAGGAGGAGGAGAACGAATCCGTGTTGAAGATCCGGGTGGATCAGTCATGGAATGTGCGGTTGTTGTGGGAGGGACGGGTCAAGGAGTTGTTGGTTAGTGCTGGGGTGGGGTTGGGACCGAGTTCGTTTTCCTCGTCGTATGCTTCTGATGGGAGTGGTGGGGAGTCTGGGGGTTTGAGGAAGTCGTATTGGAGGGGGGTGGGGGTTTCGGTGTCGTATTCGTCGTGATCCTTGTGTATATTATTGATCTATATGACGGGTTATATGGGGCGTGGGCGAATGGATGTAGATACTATGATATGTGCTATGATTATACTGCAATATATTAGTAATTAACAGAGAGGTCTAGAGTTATGGTTACAGAGGGTGCATGGGAAGGTAAGGCTAATGGTAGTATTCAAATTGGATTTATTTGGTATAGATTCGATTTTTTATATTCTTTATAGATTTTTATGCTCTGCAATTGGTCATGGTGTCTGCAGAGTTCCCAGGCTGACTTCCCCGCCTATTGGGATTCGGATATCATATCACATGTCCATCAATCATTCAATTGTTTACAGACGAGCGTTGATGATGTCAACGACTATAACAGAATAATCAGTAAGCTGCATCAACCAAATGGAAGGGCACACATACAGGCAGGCTTCAAGCTGGCACCGCCAACCAGGAATCCGTCGACATCGGCCTCCTTGGCCAGGTCACGGCAGTTCTTCTCGCTGACGGAACCACCGTAGATGATGCGGGTGTTGTCGGCAGCCTCGGGGGAGATGGCATCAACGAGCCACTTGCGGATAGCGGCGTGGACCTCCTGGGCCTGGGCGGTCGTGGCGACCTTGCCGGTACCGATAGCCCTGAATCGGGGTTAGCGTGCGACCAGCAGGCCAGACGAATCGATAGAGAACTTACCAGACGGGCTCGTAGGCGACAACAACCTTAGCCCACTGCTCCTTGGTGAGCTCCTTGGCAACAGCGTTGAGCTGCTTGGTGACAACGTCGATGGTCTTGTTGGCCTCACGCTCCTGGGGGGTTGCATTAGTCTCGGTTCATCTCACCGGGTCACCGCGAGCTCGAAGAGGGGTAGGCGCGAGGTTAAAAAAGCAAAACCAGAGAAAGTAACCGGCCCACATACCTCGAGAGTCTCGCCAATGCAGAAGATAACGCTGAGGCCACCGTCAATGGCGGCCTTGACCTTGCGGGCAATGAACTAGATGGGGGTTAATATTAGCCCAACCCAACTAAATAATATTTGGCGGGGTAGACCTACCTCGTCGCTCTCCTTCAGGATAACACGGCGCTCGCTGTGACCAATGATGGTCCAGTCGATCTTGACATCACGGAGCTGCTCGACACTGATCTCACCGGTGAAAGCACCGTTGGGCTTGTCGAAGACGTTCTGAGCAGCGACGCCGATCTTCTCGCCGGCGGCCTGGCGGGCGGGGAGCAGGTAGAGGGTGGGGGGAGAGACAACCACCTCGGCGGACTCGTCCAGCTTGGCGGCATTGAGGTTCTTGATGATGGAGGTAATGCTGTCCGCAGTACCGTTCCTGTGTGAGAGCAACGCAGAAGTTATTCGTTAGCCAGCGGGCTCGTTGATGGTGAAGCGATTTTTGGTGAAGAGCTGGCGGGGCAGCGGATGGAGGGGTTTCCATACATCTTGAAGTTACCACCCACGAAGAATTGACGAGGCATTTTGAAGATGTGTTGGTGTGATTGAAAAAGACGGGGAGAGTGTCTGAAGAAGGAAATCGTGTAAGGAAGTGAGTAAAAGAGTTAAAGTACAGAGAAAGAAGAAGGAAAAGAAGAGAAGAGAGAGAGAGAAGAAGAGGAAAGAGGGAAGAAGAAGAACCGGAAGGATGAATGACGATGGGGGGGAACCGAGAGAGGGGCAGAGCAGCTGCCAGCACTGCTAGTTACTACTACTACCACTACTAGTAACTGGTCACTACTACTACTAGTTAAACTGCTACACGGGCGGGGCTTATCGATAAGTCACTCGCTGAGCTGGCATCTCTTTCTCTTCCTTTCTCCCTCCTCTCGCTCTCTCTCTGGGTCTCATCTCTCTACTACTAAGCTCTACAAACAACTACTCGGTGTCTGCTTCGGGAATGGGTAACTCGGCTCGTGATAATCCCCCTATAATATAACATTGCTATTGCACAAGGATGAGAAATGATAATCTTCAGGGTGCGTCTGTGTGTGTGCGCGGTTGAACTGCAGCTTCCGATGGAACTTTTGTCTTCCCCCCCCCCCATGACGTTATGAGATACCCACTTGGATCCCTCCTTCACCCGATCCCAAAATGCAAATACCCGAAAATCCACTGGTAAACTGACTTTCCTAGGGAAAAACAATGAAGCGATTCTCCTTCCATTGCCCCCCCTCTTTCCTTCCCATTTCGACTAGTCCTATGTAACTAACCACCCCCCAAGGACCCTGCACCATTCATTGAAGCCCCTCCGGGAGGTAATATCGTCGAGGGCCATAGAAGGTGCCCGGTTCGCGCAGGGACATGCGTCGTCCGAGGTAACATGCATCATCCAAGCGTTCCCGTTCCTCCAGCACGCGGGCCCGGTATTCCACCATCCGCTCGCGATGCTCCAATCGGGCCTCGCGGTCATCTAGTATTCGCGCCCGAATATCGTTCCGGGCCCGCCCCCCTCGGAACCGCTCTGCCCTCTCGGCCAAAAGTTGCTCCAAATCCAACTCGTCTGCACTCACTGGCGCATGGATGATCTTGGGTCGGTCCCGCGCTGGCCGGCTCACTTCTTGACTGGGACCACTGCCACCACCACCACCACCACTAACGGCACCCTCGCTGCGTGGGTCGACATGTTTACTGTCTGCAGGCACCACGTCAATGCAGCCATTGGGATACCCTGACCGGCTCGTCTTGCTGTCCCACCCGTTTTTCTGGGGCTGCTTCCGATAATGGGTGCGGTATGCATGCTTCGCTCGGGGGGCGGAGTGTCGACGATATAGACTGCCGCGCCACGGCTGGGGTTTATCCTCCAGTTCGGGCTCTTCATCAGAGCTATCGGTGATGGAACTGTCGTCGTCAAAGTCGAACACGGATTCATCGTCCCCCACACTACTCGACTCTAGTCCCAGTTCTAGCTCGGGATCTGCCGCCGGCGTTGAGGGCCTGACGTTCTCGGGCTTAGTCTCTGGGGGAGCGGGGGTAGTGGTAGGAGCAGGGGCATGGGCAGGGGCGGGTCCTTTGTCAGAAGGATGGGCCTCTTGTTGGCTGGAAAAATGGGCGCGGGGGTCGAATCCCTGCCTTTGGTGGAACATTCCAGCTGCCATGTGGACGCCTCGCAGGCCATTCGGCTGAGCCATCATGTGCGGAACATTGGCTTGGCCAGACATGGCAGCACCAGGCATGACAGGAGCAGGCACTGCAGAACTGGGCATAGCAGACGCAGGCATCGTAGAGACAGGCATGCCTGGCTGAGCGCGGTGTGGGTGCATGCCAGCTGGCATCCCGTGCACCCACGGCCAGGGCCCCTGGGGCATATGTGGTCGTGGCCCCGCATATCCCTGAGGAACTTGAGGAGGCGGCTGATGGGGAGGTGGCTGATGGGGTGGAGACTGATGAGAAGGAGGCTGATGGAACCTTGTAGGCAGAGGCTGCTGGTTATGATTCATGGCCGGTGGCATTGTCCCCTGATGGATAGTAGGCCCAACCAGTGGCTCACTAGGCTGCATGCTCCTAGACATCCCCTTTGGTCCCGATTCGGATGGATTATTGTGCACGTGAGTTGGCACACGGTCCTGTGGTTTAGGAAGGGCCTCCACATCCACATGGTCGTCGACAGGTATCTTGGGAAACACCAGATCTGTAGCCTTTCTCATGATGACGACGTTCACGGAGAGCGTCTCATAGTCACCTCGCCGGGAGTTCTTACCCTTGAATGGCTTCTCGTCCTCCTTGACATAGACGCAGGTCCATTCAAAGTGGGGGTCACTCTTCCTAAGTTCGCTGATCAGCTGGTCCACATGCGCACGTTTGACCTTGGACAGGGACTGGTATTGCTCCGCGATGGGGGTCTTCTTGGTTCGCTTGTGTACCAGCTTCATCAGATCAGACTGGCTGAGGTTCATCTTGGTCCGCTCCACATGGTTCCAGGTGGACTTGTGCCCGGGCACGGCATCGGCCTTGAAGAAGGTGTACCCCAGGTAGTAGAAGGGGGCACGAGCATCAATCTCCTCAACGACCGTGGTGGTCTCCTTGGGCTTTGGATTGTTGACAGCCGGGGGTTTCTCCGGTTGAACATTGAGCCGATTGATCTGAGGAACCAAGTACTCCGGGTTCATGGGACGTGCTGAGCCCGCTTGCGCCACACGGACACCCTCATTCGGGCGCATAGGTGGATGATGAGTCGGAGGCGCAGGAGGCACCTGTTTGTTGTTGTTCTGGTTGATGACCGCCATACTGTAAGACTCCGCTCTTGTTGGGGACCGAGAGGATGCGGCCACGGGGACCCGTAAGTATGTCAATCCTCAGGCAGAAAGGAGGGAGCTGTTAAGGTGAGCAAGAAGGAAGAAGATAAGGGGCCGAGCAGACGCAGAAAACCCTAGGGAATGGAATGGGATTCGGGAAAAACGGAAATGGGAGAAGCGGGGTCAAGAGCAAAGAGCGAGCAAGTATAACCTCCTTATATCTCCGAACGCGCCAGGGAGGTCATGGAGGGGTCAACTGGCCTCTTTTAATGACGACGGACTACCGACAATAATCATGGTGTAAGATTGTTTCAGGAGATGAAGATCCCTGGTGCTTTCTGCCTTGCCATTAGGTTTGGAAAGCTGCATGCCCAGCAGAAGCAACCATCCAACCCCAAAAGATTCGGGATATCATGGTCGCGGAGCTACTGGAGTCTTTGCTTGTGACCATGGCAATCGTTCAATCACGATGCGCCGTCCAAATGAAAGGACCAGGGGAAAAGCGCGCAGGTCCCTCCGTCGCTGCGCAAGACGGAATTAGCAGGGCGCGACATCGCCCGGGCATGGGCAAGGAGAACTGCCCTGGCCATTTTGGCGCATTGTCATTCGCCCCTTTGACCTGCGTCTTTTTATATCCACCCCCCTCTTCTGGATGAATGATAGTCGTTACTGAGTCGCGGGCTCGCGACTGCTTCTCTGGCCGCGTGTTTGCCCGGGCTTCGTATCGCAGGCAGCCTTCCTCAGCCGCAATGGAATGGGGCGATGCAGCAGCAAGTAAGAAAACCCAACATCCTCCCAGGGCGACGAGCAACTACAGCCCGGAGTAACAAGACGGCAGTAAAAAGTCTGATCTGATGTTGGATGGGCGATGACGGTTGAGCAAGACAATCAGATGGAAGATGAAGAAAAAAGAACAAGCAAGGCCGCCGTCATGGTGCACTCTACCTGCATGTGGCCGACCGGCTAGCGGGTTTGCTGCTGTGTTCAGGCCCAGGCTTTCACAGTCCAGGACGAACATCGCTGCAGCCTAACCGCCATTCAGCGCTGTTGCCCAACAATGAACTTCTAGTTCCCACAAGCCTGATTGGCCGCAGGGATGCGCCGGTTCTGCAGCCAAACCCCCCTTTGCCGCTGTCTGTCCGTCTGGTTCAAAGAGACATGTTCTGCTTGCCCGTCACTGTCATTGAAGTAGAGTGGATCAATCCACTTCCCTACATACAGAAACGTATAGAAGTATCCAGCAAATGCTGCACGTCATGGGTTCTTTTCTTGTTATGCTGATCGTGCTGCATGCGATGGTGGAAATGATCAATTCCGCTCTGTTCGTCTTGGATGGCCGCCACCAGCAGCAGCAGAATCACCACCACCACAACCATCACCATCATGAAACGGTACTTTTCTCCCCCTCCTTTAAGAGTCCAGGCGAAGGATATCGTCATCTTCCTTGCTAGTCGTGTTGAGAACGGCCGCCCGCGTTGATGATAGGCCGGATCAGCCGTGACTCATGGCAAATGCCTGCAGGTGCTCCAGGCCTCAGCTGGGCCCATCCTGCAGGTTGGGAGGCCCTTATTGGATGCTCAGTCTTAGTACACCCTCCTTCCATGACTTATAGAATCTATATCGGAACATGACATTGCCAGTCTGGAAAATATTGGTATCTCACTTTACTAACAGCCCCTCCACGAGCATGAAAATAACGCCGAAAGAAACCCTAGGTGAGTGAAAGTCAAACTCTAAGCAGCACATACATCCTCAAGATGTTGCCTTCATGTGATCTATCAAATTGACCGTTGGGCTGTTGCGCGAGTCATGATCCAATTAGGGTCTCTCAAGACTATACTGGAAAACTCGCCTTTTGTACCATTTGATCTCGTAGTCGAGTTTTTGTTAAGGTCCACACACAACCTTTGTTCTTTGAATACATGTTTGGACTAATAGAACAATCCGAACAATCACTCGCATACCGGGCTCTTTCTTCTCGATGTTCCAACCGTCAACAACGGCGCAGTAAAAACAAAGACACTTTATATGAAAAGTAAGGAAACCACGATCCGCGATGCATCCCTTTGTCGGTAGTATTCACGGCGCTCTTGGAGCCCTCCAATTTACCTCCACTACTATAAAAGCCTGCCCTCTTTTCGAACTACCGGGAGGAGGCTATAGCTAACCCTGAAACCCTATTTCGACATCTTTTAACATTCTCGCAATGGCGGACGACAATAGAAATCAGATGTTCTGGAGCCGCGAATTCGCCCGCCTCGTCGGGGTTTTAACTAATGCTCATCTCTTGAGTGCTGCAGAGCATCGGCAATTATGGGCCCACGTCTACACGTGGGAGTCGAGTCTGGCAGCACTGATTCACGATCTTCTACAACCAGAGAGCCTGCTAGCAGCCGAACATCCCCAACTCCATGAGGTACTCTCAAGGCGCTACTACGCCAGCATGCAAGCCAGAGAAGAGACAGAGATATCCAAATGCACGCACGAGGTGGACGGGGAACCTCGAACAGACAGTTATAGATACCAGCAAAGCATACACGATAAAGAATCTACTATCCATCGTCAAGGCGATGAGAACGTGGCTGATACGTACCGCGCTAGTATCTGTCCCAACCTGGATGACGATTTTGTACTCCGGGGCATTCTGGGGCGTGGAAGTACGGGATTCTGACCCTCTTGTGCTCTTGGATAGTTCGCTAACGCAAATCCACAGCCTTTGGCTTCGTCTTCCTGGCACATAAGCGTAATCCCCCAGACCCTAATGTGACTAGTGCTGGCTTCCTTTGCTGACCAACATCTATAGGAAGTGATACCAGACCTCCGGAAAAACAAAAGCTATACGCAATCAAGGTCGAGACTTCATCGACCATCAATACAGATATAAGAAAAAGGACAGGTGATCCGAGTGTGGCGCCTCTATACTATCAACAGCCGCATCAGTTCCGCTATATTCCAATGGAGGCATACCTTCTGCTGCTCACGGCTGGCTGTAGGCGGTTCCCGATGCTGGACTCTGTCTACTCCCACGGCAAGTACAAGGCAACGGTGATGGAAGCTACAGTCCCTTATGAAGTCCGTGAAAAGAATTACGACCCATGTTCCGAAACCAAGGATTGGCTTAAGAAAGGGTTGCAGCCACTCAGCGGAGACAGTTACCTTCTATATAGAGAAAAGCAGACCGGACTAGGCGAGGTGGCCGTCTGCCAGATAGCAACCCAACTGCTTGAAGCAACATCATACCTATATGACATGCGACTCTGCCACACGGACATCTCACACTGTAACTATCTACTTGACGATGCTTTAAATGTAAGGCCATCTCTACAGACAGAACCCTACAACCAACCATCCTACATCCTAAAAGAACCCACCTACTAACCCATCCAACCAAAACAGACAACCCTAATTGACCTCGGCCTCGTTCACTTCGGCCTGCGCGACGCAGACTTCCAAAAACGCCACACGCCCTACATCCCCAACTACGAGAAATTCATGACACCCGAACTCGCCACCGAACTCCTAAAGCCCAAGTATGACAACACCGACTTCAGCAAAGGTACCGTCAGCATCCCCCTTCACCACGACGTCCGCGACCTCACGCTCTGGCAACTCGGCTGCATCATCTACGAGCTCCTACACGGCTTCGCGCCTTGGGAAGAGCCAAACCCGGATCCGGATATCGGGCGTCTTTCTGACTGGCCCAATGGCAGGAGTGCTGCACAGCAGGCCCGGAGAATGAGAAAGATAAGGGAGCGAAGGCAGCGCGTTATTAGAGAGGAGTTGCCTGTTAGTGAGGACCTCTCGCAGGATTGTGTGGATATGCTGAGGGCTATATTTACGAAGGACCCGGAGGAGAGACCGAAGTTGCAGGAGTTGTTGTCAATGCCGTGGTTTGGGCAGTCGAGTTATTGGGTAGAGATGGACACGCTGGAGATAAGGAGGCAGGCTGCTATTAGGTGATTTACTTTTAGGCAGGAGGAGATAGATGGGTAGGTTGATGTGGGTGGTTGTTGGAGGCTTGAGGGGGGGATAAGGATGGGGAGGTCCATTACTAGTATAAGTACTCACTGGATGTTGGATTATAGGTTGAGTTCAATTGGGTAGTAGATCGTCAGTCTCGCGGGCGAGATGGCAAATATATATCACTAGTATGCGCTTACTCTTTCACTTCTTCAGCATACGTACAACAAGCAATAATAATATCTGTATTATTGGACTCAAGTCAAATTGCTCATGGATGGATGGAATCAATGCAAACCCAGTTACCCTAACGCCGTTCGAAACACAAAAACCGCATAACAAACTGCAAGATTGCTTATAGCTATAAGTATTAAAATGAATGTAACTCATACTATCATATCACAAGTAGTATGAATCACATCACCTCCGCAGACTATCCAATCTCGCCTGCAAGTCATCGTCACTCGTATTCACACCACCGCCACCTCCACCCCCAGCACCAACCGCTTGCGCAACTCTCGTCTCGCCCACGGCCGTCTTTTGTATATCGGTGGGTGTTTCTCCCAGCTAAATAGTATGTTAGCATCATATACCTCATTGCATCTCCCTGCGAAGAAAAGAAGGAGGGGAGAGGCACGAACCGCCTGGCTAAGATCCACACCAATCTCATCAAGAACCTCCTTGACTATATCCTCGCCTTCTTCCTCCTCGCCTTCCAATCCCGTTGCTTCGTCAATCGCCTCATCCATCATTTCCTGTCGTTGATCCATGATATCGTTCTCTCGCTCGAACTCCATTGCGATTCGTTGCAACGCGGGGAGATTCATCTGTCGGTTCATGCTGCCTAGTAACATTGTTGCGCCTTTCATGGATTGCATCATTTGTTCGTTGCTTCGTACCGTCTATTCATCCATCGATCCATCTTGTAAGCTATATTTGCTTTGTGTAAGATGGAAAAATAGGGAAATCGTACCTGAATCCGCAGCGAAATGGCCTGTAACTGTGTCCGCATTTGGTAGAATTTCTGGACATATCTGTTCCCGCGTTAGCATACCACCATACTCGCAATAAGAGACAGGACTTTTGGTACTCACCTCCTCGTCCTCACCAGATCCTTCGCCTGGATCTTACAAGCCCCAATCTGTCCATTCTTCGCGCTCTTCTTAATATCCTGGACTAGCTTCTTCTCCTGGTTCTCAAGCTTGACTCGTTCGCGGTCCAGTTCGCGCTGGGTTCGGTCCAGCGCTCGTTGATGTTTGCGCAGACGCTCGGCGGGCGTCATGCGCTTGCCGAAGGCCCATTCGACGATCTGGTGGGGGGTGGTTGTTAGTTTATTTTGGTTGGGTTGAGTTTGGGGCGATGCGGGGAAGGGGAAAGGTTAGGTGGATAGATCAGATAGATAGGGACGGACGTACGTTCATGGTGGGGGTGATTGAGAGTCGGGATAGAGTTCAATGGTGATTGCTGTTTCGGCAGGATGGGAATGACGTGCAGCTTGTGGGCGAAGGAGGAAGCGGAGGAGGAGGAGGGAGGATAGAGATCATGAAACGATAACAAAGTAGCGATGAGGAATGAAGATAGGATGTCAGGCTACTTCTTTTAGTTGAAGTGACATCAAGGTAACCGTACCATACGATACAAATTGTTTACATACTCTAATTTACTCCGGTAATAAAACAGTGTCACATGCAGAAAACCAGACCAAACCCCTTTGGGCTTTTCCAGGGAATCTTTCGTTTCTTTCCATCTTCGCGTCACCGATTGATGGCTTTCCATCCCTGTTAATTCCCCTCATTCTTTCTCTGTCGGTCGCCATGAGTCAGGAGTATTTCCCCGGCCAGGGCGCCTCCTCTGCCGGCGAGGGTTCATCCTCGCCTTCGTCCTCCTCGCCCACTCACGCCTATCCTCCGCCGCCGACGGAGGAGGAACGCCTTCCCAGCACTAGTACTTCTACTATGTTTCCGAGACCCCCGCCTGCATACATGACCGTCGGCAATGGCTCAACCTCCGAGAGCGCGACCGCCTTGATGGCTTCCCTGCATGAGGATTCCGGCTATGGAGGCAGTATTCCCAGTGGAAGTGTGATGGAAGGTGATGCTGGTGGCGACTGGAGGGCCGATTTGATGGTCGATCGCCCGACCCCCATGCATACCCCTACGCATCTGGGAGAGTGGAATCCTGCCGGTTCGTTTTGTCCCCGGACTGATACGGATATAGTAGTTTATGTGGAAAGGTTACTGACGTGCGGATTATACAGTGGAGCATGAGAGACATGTTGTTGCAAGCCATGTCCATCAATTATTATAGTATGTATTTATCACTTTTTTTCCCCCTTCTATGGGATGTGCAGACACTGACCACTGTGCTCTTCGAATCTGCAGCAACTCGAACCGCACCAAGCTCGCGCGTGCTATCTCGCGCACTATCGAAACCCTCAAAGAACTCCAGAACATGAACCGCCAATGGCCCGCGCATTATCCCTCCTCCCAGAGCGCTCCTGGTTCCCCTGCGCCAAAGCCCGCCTTGCAGAAGAGACAGTCGTTTTTCGGAGATGCAAACACCGAATCGGAGGATTTCCCCCGTCCCGGAATGGTCAGACGCGCTGCCACGATGACCGGTGGCGAGGATTTGGCTGAATCTAGCGCTGCGGCAGAACGTCGTGTCCCGTCGGAACCGAGGCTGATGAGCCCCCAGATCGCGCAGGAGTTTTCGATTCTCAAGCTGGATTTGAAGCTGGGTGCGCTGTCCCAGGCGGAGCTGGTGCACTCGCTGGAGAAAGCGTCGATTGCGTCGCTGTTGGATGGCAAGATCAGCCAGAGTATCAAGCATCTGTTGTCGCTGCGGGATCGGATTGAGGATACCTCGAGCAAGGTTTTGATTACCGGTGATCTGAACGCTGGAAAGTCGACGTTCTGTAATGCGCTGTTGCGGCGCAAGGTTCTCCCCGAGGATCAGCAGCCATGCACGAGCATCTTCTGTGAGGTTCTGGATGCCCGCGAGAACAGCGGTGTAGAGGAGGTTCATGCAGTGCACAAGGATGTGCTTTACAACCGCAACGATGAGAGTACCTACGATGTGTATGCGCTTCAGGAGCTGGAGAATATTGTTATCGACAACTCCAAGTACATGCAGTGCAAGGTCTACGTGAAGGATGTGCGGACGATTGACGAATCTCTTCTCAATAACGGAGTGGTGGATATTGCTCTGATTGATGCGCCTGGTCTGAACTCGGACTCGCTGAAGACGACGGCGGTCTTTGCTCGGCAGGAGGAGATCGATGTGGTCGTTTTTGTGGTTTCCGCTGCAAACCATTTCACACTCTCTGCAAAGGAATTCATTCTTAATGCTGCCCATGAGAAAGCCTACATGTTCATTGTTGTCAACGGCTTCGACCAGATTCGCGACAAGCAGCGCTGTGAGCGGATGATCTTGGACCAGATTGGCAAGCTCAGTCCCCGCACGTACAAGGAAGCGGCTGAGCTGGTGCACTTCGTCTCGAGTAATGCTATTCCGGTAGCACCCCCGGTTTCGGTGGAGAGCTCTGGTTCTGGTGGTGGTGATGGCGATGACTCTGATGATGATGACGATAAGCCTTCCGGCAAGAAGGATAAAGGAAAGGGCAAGGAGAGAGAGAAGATTCAAGACTTTGAGAACCTGGAGGGCTCCTTGCGCCGCTTCGTTCTCGAAAAGCGCTCTCGCTCGAAGCTTGCTCCTGCCAGGACCTACCTCCTGAACCTGCTTGCTGACCTCAACTCGTTGGCCTCGGTGAACCGTGATGTTGCTGAGACCGAGCTTAAGCGCGTCACGGACGAGCTGGCGGAGCTTGAGCCGGCATACGAAGATGGTAAGAAGAAAAAGGTTGAGATTGGTGACCAAGTCGAGAAGCTTGTCGACGAGTCTTGCGACGATGTCTACAACCACACCCGGTCTACTCTGGGTGAAACCATCGCCCGTGTTTCGGAGGCTGATCTGGGCGTTGAATACCCGGGTTTCCTCTCCGCATTCCAATATGCTGAAGACCTGAAGGTGGCCATGTTAGAGCAGATCGCTTCGGCTGTAACTGGCTGCGAGGACTACGCTCGTGAAAAGACGGTAAAGGGCGTCGGGTTCATCCAGAACATTGGTCTCCTCCATGTTGGTGAGGACAAGTTTGCGCCCTTGAACTTCCGTGCAGACATGATGTTCCGTCGCGGTCGTCGTCACACTCTCGCTAGGCAAGTGCACACCGAAGTGGAACTATGGGACTTTTTCGACGTCTCGGGCATCTGGGAGCGTCAAGAGAAGGTGGCCGGCACAGGAATGGCCATGACCGCCTTGACGGTCCTTACAGGCCGTGCCTTTGGCGGAATCAGCTGGATTGATAGCGTGTTTAGCGCAGTCAAGTTCCTCGGACCGAACAATATGCGCCGCCTGTTTATTCCTGGTGTCATGGCAATCGGTGAGTCCTACCCTATAAGTCACTCTATTGAACTGTTCACTAACTGACTAAACCAGCCGCCCTGACAGCCGCCTACATGGTCTCCTCCATCCCAACGACCCTTCCCCCTCGTCTCTCACGCAAGCTCGCTGCCACCCTCTCGGAGATGGACTATGTCCACTCCAACGCGACGCGCATCTCCTCCGAAGTCCGCCGCATTCTGCGCCTCCCCGCCGGAAACCTGCAGACCAGCCTGGCGCAAGACATCGAAGATCTCGGCCGCCGCAAGCACGAGGTCAGCAAGACCAAGCAGGAAAGCGACGCCGCCTGCAAGTACTTTACGAACTTGTTCCGCGAGAGCGGCGAGAACCGCACCTCAGTCGAAAACATCGATCTCGATGCTCCCTTACCTGGTGGCCTGGCAGCCCATGCTTAGATACCAACTTTTGACTTTTACTCTTATTTTCTTTTTCTCATCCCCCATCATCTTTGACAACTGTACAAAACATAACATAATGATGCTGTACGAACTTGCTACTGCTATTCCCTCTTTGTTCAAGAGAACTGTTAGCCGTGGCTGGCACTTTTCCTTACCCCCCTCTTCCTCGTCTACGTTGCCACTCAAAATATCCCCCTCGTGTATGTACATTCACCTCCCCTTCATCCTTTTCTCCTTATTTTTATCTGCATCATTACCCCATCCCTTGCAGGATAGGGCTGGTTGATGATTGTTATCGTCAGCTTATGGATGATGATTACTTAAGTAGTTTCTGTTTCTGGCGTATCACCATCGTTGATTGGCGTCTTAGAGCTTAATTGCATACCTATCTAGTACTATCTACCATGGTTTCTGCTTATGGTATTGTATTGTTGAACAGTGGTTTTTAGCAAAGGTATTAACTAGATTGAGGCTGTGCCTTTATTCTTATGCTTAATTACTTCCTATCGTAATAAGTAGTGTCATAGCACGATTGTCAGACCTGGTAGGATTGTTTCTATAATGCAAGTACAAGGAAGTAACAACTAGGCTGGAAAATAAGGTGTAAATTTCAAACCCAAGGATTAATATCAAACCAATCATGAATTTTCCTAGTCGCTGGTAGTAGGTATTCATTTAGGATAGATACGCTATGCTATGCTATGTATGCACTCAACAGCAGAACACAATGGACCTATGAATGTCCAAACAACCCAAAGGTAGATAATTTACCCGTCACCGGTTAATCTCTTTACTATCCTTTAGGGACAAAACTCGCACATCCATATATAATTCTATCTACCCAACAGAACTCACATGCCGATCGAATAAATATCATAGTTTGATCAGAGATCATCCAACGCGCGAGTCGCATGTCTGGTTCTCCTCGCCGTCCCCCACGCCCCATTCTCCAACCCTGGAACAAGTCTCCCCTCCGCAATCACATCATTCGACTTCTTCTTCTCGACTACCTTCCCGGCCTTTTGGAGAAATTTCTCCCGCATGGCTACCGCATCCGGGTCCTCGTAGTCCAGCTGCGTCATGGGCGGGGCCTCGTTCTCGTCCTCTTCTTCGAGGGTGCCGTTACGCTCCGGGTACTGGTACTCGTATTGGTTGCTGTGGGTATGAGACAGCGAAGGGATGCGAGAGTTGGTGGCGGTCGTGGTGGTGGACTCGACGGCGCTGCCGCAGCCGTCTTCGTTGAGGGTGTCGATTGAGCTGGCGCGGGAGAAAGAGAAGTGCTTAGGGTGGTCGAGGGAGGAGGGGGCCCGGCCCAGGAGCGGTCTTCGGCCTCGTTGAGGTCGTTGGCGGTCGTCCGAGCCGGTGCTGGGTTCGGAAGGTTGGGCTGGTCGGGCGTTTTTGAGTAGGCTGGTTACGGCTTGGTTGAGGGCGGATTGGGTGGTTGTGGTTGTGGTTGAGGGGTGTTCGTCGGTGGGTTTGCGCTTGAGGGGGGAGGTGGTGGTTGTGTTGGTCGGGACTGGGGGTGGTTTGGTTGTGGGGTTGGGGTCTGATGAGGATGTGTCTGGTGGTTGTGCATTGCTTGATTTTTGTTTCTCGTGCTCATGCTCGTGTCTGGGACGTGGGGGCTCGTTACTATTGGGGGGTTGCTTCTGCTCTGGGCGAGAACCGGCTCGCGGTTCCAGAGACTTTCTGCTCTGTGTGGGTTGGTTTTGAATTAGGTATTGGTCGACTGGTTGTTTCTGTTCGTTGCGGATGGAGGACCAGAGCCAGTCCGCAGATACAGCAGGTACTCCCCATTCTTGGGTATGCCGCAGCTTCTCCGGGTTCACGGGGCCGGAGTCGTTGCATATGAGGACGGAGGCGCTGGGTGTCAAGTACTCGTGGTAGGTGGCACCTAGAGGGTCAGACAAGTTCAACAAGCTGCTTAGGGTAACTTACCAACGAGGTTGACGAGTTTTGATAGATGGAGAAGGTCGATTCGGGAGAAGCCAGTAGAGCAGACCTTCAGTCCCGCGAATCCTAGGACTATCAGCTAGACGTCTATCGTGGGCTGATTGGGGCTCTACCTTTGATCGGGAAAGAAGGGATCGGGGTGTTTGCTGTGTGGGATTCTGGCGGTACCAGCGTCTTCGCATCGAGACATCTTTCCAACCACATGTCGGTTACCACCTCGCATTCGAACGCCAAGTCATCCGTGGATGGGACCTGTGCGCGGGGCATCTTGTAGGGCACGATGGTGTAGAGGCCATGGCCCCTTTTGGGTATGTCTGGTCTAGAGAACTCGCTCAAGGAGCTCACCAGCTCTGCACCATTGAAAGAAAGGTGATCTCGCAATACGTTGGTCTTAAAATGTTAGCAGGTGGAAGAAAGTGTAAGGGTATGCATGCCAACCTGTTTAGAGGAGAACCCATGAATGAAAAAGAAACAATTGCCCAAAAAACCCTCGCGACGCTCTGCAGCTGGAGGGGGCGGGGGCGGGGGCGGTTGAAGGGGCTCCTGAGGTTCTGCAAAGGTAGTCTCGCTCGCAAATGAGCGTGACTCCTGCAAAATAGAGGGCCTCTTTGTCAAAGACTGGGTCCTCTGCAGACTTTCTCTAGATGGCCTCGGATCGCTGCTGTCGAAACCCGTACCGACAATATCGCCCCAGATGCCTTCATTCTGGTCACCCAGCTTAGCACTTGCAATCCTCCGAAGCTTTCTCGGTCTAGGATTTGAGGGGTTTTCGTTGTTAGTGACTTTTGGTTTCGGAGTAGGCAGCGATCGATTCCAGGCACCAGCGCCCTGTTGCTCATCAGGTAGAAGAGGGTGATAGAGAGTTTCTTCCAGTACCATGCCACGCTCAAGACTATCCTCGAACCACTTCACCGTGACAATTCTGATACCCCACTGCGTTGCGAATTTATACTTCTCACCCTCCGTGTTCCTGGCAATAAGATGAGTGACGTTCTTGGTGAGGTCTTTTCGGAACTCGGCTCCGTGGGCAGTGACGGTATCCTGGATACGATTTCGCAGCGACACTATAGCATATGCATTAGACTAGTCTTCCAGTGCGCTCTATGTTCGGTATTCCCTACTCACTATCCTCAAAGCCCGTTATACAGATAGATAGCCCAGCAAACGTCGGGAATCTGTACTTTTCTTCCAGAGCCCGAATGTCTGTATCGCCTCCCTGCATCCATGACTGGCGAACAGCTTCAACCCATTCCGGTTTCAGGACTGTTATGTCGGTACGCTCGCGCGCGACGAACTTGTACTTCGGAGTATTGACTTCGCCGATAAGCAGATGCGTGACGTCCGAGGTAAGGTCAAATTTGTGGGTTGCTCCCATCTGACTTGCGACGATAGCGAGTTCAGACTAGACGCGACGCATAGCAATCAGTACTGTGCTAGATTGGTTGAAGAATTATAGTAAGAGGTACAAGCATCAGAGGGTGTTTAGCATACCCGCTGTTCTGGTAAGATGGAGGTAAAGCAGAGGACCACCCCCGCAAGAGGATGCTCCTTGTCTGAAGTGGAGTTAGTCTGTCTCTTGCTATCTAAAAAGAGGGATTGAGCACTGACTCGAGGTTGCTTTCTCTGCCATGCTTCATGATTGGCAGAAATCAGCCTGGGACCGGTGCGCCGATATGAAGATTCGCTCTATCGGAGCTCCGCGCGGAAGCGCGTCTGGGAGTATACGTTGTCACGTGACAGACGGGGGTTCTTTTCCCTTTGTGAAGCTGCAGCAGAACATCCTCGACTCCACCGATGGTAAGGATTGGCTGGTTTCACCATTTTATGAACACTGCTGGTTCTTGTGCTCCCGACCAATACTAACATTTACTAGCATGCTGATCTCCATGATAAGTCAAGGGTCGGACAGCGTTAACAACCTCTCATTAATCTAGCTAGTATCTATATAACTAAAGACCGAAAGAACTTGCAGCATTCTACTAACAACCATCAGCTACTAGTTACTATCCCCTCTACCTGATTATGCAAAGCATCGGACAATGAGGTAGGATCCGGATACACTCTCGTCCAGTTAGGTGGCAACTTTAACCCAGTACGTGCTGAGAGCTCTTTACGCATCTGGATGGCTCCCAATGAGTCCACTCCAACATCCATGAAACCCCGGTGCATATCTACTTCCTCTGCAGCTGCCACACCAAGTACTTTGGCAGTTACTTCCCGTACCAGTTGCTGAAGCATTGTCGCCCTCTCCTCGGGGCCAACTATCCTGATCTTGGTCTCGAAGCCGTCCGTCCCATTCGACTTTGCAGCTGCTGTCGTTGCATGCGTCGTCTCTTGATCATTTAGGCACAGCTTACCATGCTTCGGGACCTCCTGGGTCTGCGCCTGCATTTGCATCTGCATTCGCGGGACGAGCACTCGCTCGCCAAGTACAATACATTCAGGTTCGGTACTCATCATCAAGATCGAGCAGAGTTTAGTGGCTGTAGCGATGTCCACGTCACCCTCCAGATCTACAATCCGCAAACAGAGTTGAGGATATCTCACGCGCGCGCTTCGCATCATACCCCAGAGCGATGCCTCGCCCATATTTCCGGCTCCAACAGCACCACGCGTCACCCAGACTAGCCAGGGAGAGAACTCCATCCTGGACACGGTCTGCAATTGCTCAGATGCCTTGGAGGACAAGTCATCTTCACTATCTGATTCCCAAAAACAAAGCACGCCGCTCATCGTTTTGGCTTCCGCGAGCCGATTGACTGTAATCGGTTGCTTTCCGGCGTGCAACAATGCTTCCTTCACCGGTGCCATCCACGGGGCATCATTTGCTGGACAGAGCAGACCCCAAGTTGAATTGGAATAATGACAACTCGCGTCAATAGTGTGCCATCCAACTTGGATCTGACCGGTGGGTCGGGGTCCACCCGAAGGAGACTGGCCAGATGGCTTACCGCTGTATATTGGTCGCAACCCGTCGAGCCAATACCGATGTCGCTGAAATGCGTACGTAGGTAGCTGGATGCGACGCCCGCCAATATCTTTGAAGAAGGCTGCCCAGTCGATCTCTGCTTGTCGGATATGTAGTTCCGAGAGACTATTTTGGATTACCAGAGCGTCTTCGCTATTGGGGTTCAACGAGGGCAGCCAGGCCAGGTTCTCTCCGCCTTCGCGGTTGGCCATTTTGCTCGTCTGAGTGCTGTCCCCATCGAGACATGAGGCCCCCATACCACACAGTGTCGATGCCGGGCCCAACTCAACAAAGCAATTCGCACCCTGGTCAGCGAGGGTCTGCATGCCTTCTGCGAACAGGACTGGGTTGCGAGCTTGTCGGACCCAGTAATCCGCATTACTAAGTTGCCCAGGCTCTGCCAGTTTGCCAGTGACTGTGCTGACAATAGGCAGCGTTTGCTGCTGGAACACAATCGTTTCTGCGACGGTGCGTAATGAGGCAAGCATGCCTTCATCCAGATGATGCGAATGAAATGCGCGACTAGTTTTGAGGACCTTGGAAGACCTGCCCTGAGCCTTAAAGTAAGCTGCCAACTTGTTAATGACATCCATCTCTCCAGAAGCTACCACTTGCATTGGCGCATTGATACTCGCAATCGACACCCTGTCGCGGGCACTGAGTTGCTCGATGGCTGAAGTAACCTCGTCTACGGCGGCTTCAAGTGCCACCATACCACCGTTTTCAGGCAGCGCATGCATCAACTTCCCTCGTGCCGCGACCAAGCGGCAAGCGTCCGCCAGATCTATAACTCCGGCGACGTGCGCAGCCGCAATCTCGCCAACACTATGGCCCAACACAACTGCTGGCTGGACACCCCAGCTCTGCCATAGTCTCCATAGTGCTACCTGGAGGGTAAAGATAGCTGGTTGGGCATAATCTGTACGCAGGAGCAAGAAAGCGGCCTCGCTCTCCGGATCTGCCCACATAACATCCAACAGAGGCTTGTCTAGAACTTCCTCGAACAGGCTTGCGATGTGAGTGATGGTGTTGCGGAACACAAGGTGACGTTCAGCAAGACCCTTGCCCATCATGTGTCGTTCAGTGCCCTGTCCGGAAAACAACATCGCCACGCGAGCTGACTTGCTGTTGTCAGCAGTTGCCGGTACTCCGTTGTCGATAATGCTTGTTAGGCTGCCCAGCAGTTCAGTCTTGTCTTGTGCCGCAAGAACGATGCGTCGTGGGAAATGTGTGCGAGTAGTCGCCAACGAGTACGATACATCAGACAGCTTGATTTTTGCAGTAGCCCTGGAGATGTGATTGCAAAGTTTGCGTGCTTGACCACGTAGCGCTTCACTTGTATAGGCGGAGAGGAGAAATGGCAGCGGCAAAGGCGACTTCGCATCATCATCAGTATTGTCGCCATTAGCGTCTGAGCGAGCCCTTGAAGGCTCTTCAACTATAGCATGCGCGTTAGTGCCCGATAATCCGAATGAGTTGATTCCTGCTCGTCGCGGAGCATTCGGGCTGTTTGTCCTGGGTAGCCATGCCATCGGGCGTTGCAGCAGTTGCAACTTGCCACCCACCCAGTCAATCAATGGGCTGGGCTGACTGCTATGCAGTGTCTGTGGCAGCGTGTTGTGTTGCATCGCCAGAGCCACTTTGATAAGGCCTGCGACGCCGGCGGCCGCCTGCGTGTGTGCGATATTGGACTTTGAGGAACCAATCCTCAGCGGCCCAGTGGCATCATCGCGGCTACTGCTGAATACTTCCGCCAAAGCTGAGGCCTCGACCGGGTCTCCTAGTTTGGTGCCAGTTCCATGCGCCTCGACATAATCAATATCATACGGCTTCAGGCGCGCAGCTGCCAGAGCTGCGCGGACAACACGCTTCTGGCCTGGTCCACTCGGTGCTGTCATGCTAGCGCCACGGCCGCCGTGGTTGACTGCCGAACCGCGGATTATAGCATGGATATGATCATTGTCACGCTGCGCATCCGAGAGACGTTTCAGAACCACAGCCGAGGCGCCTTCACCCAGTCCCATCCCAGCCGCGTCCGCTGAGAATGGTCGCGAGCGACCATCTGGCGATGTAACGCGCAGCCGACTAAACTCTACATGCAAACCAGGGGAGGGCAAGAATGTGACACCACCGGCCACAGCCATGTGACACTCGCCCTGACGAAGTGCGGAGCATGCCACATGCGTGGCGACCAGTGAGGCAGCGCACCCAGCATCCAAGGTCATCGTAGGACCCTCGAGCCCCAGAGCATATGCTACGCGACCAGAGAGCGAGCTTGGCGCCGTGCCGAGACCTAGATGTCCTTCAAGCTTCTCTGTGCCGGCGGCGCTTAGCTGACCGTCATCCACAGAACTGTTACCGGTCCCGATGAAAACACCAGTCTGGCTGCCGCGCAGGGACTTAGTGCCATAGCCTGCCCGTTCGAAGCCCTCCCAGCATGTCTCCAGGATCATGGTCTGCGCAGGGTCGATAGCCCGGGCCTCGCGAGGGGAGATCCCAAAAAATTGCGCATCGAACTCCATGGCATCCCTGACGAAGCCACCACCCGTGCTGTAGGACTTGCCGGGGGCCTCCGGGTCGGGGTCGTAGATGGCATCGGCATCCCAGCGCTCCTCAGGAACCTTGGTGACGGCATCGGTGCCGCTAATGAGAACATTCCAAAACTCTTCTGGCGTGTGAATATCGCCGGGCAGCCTGCATGCCATGGAGATGACAGCAATATCTTCACCAGTGGCATCGTTCCCAACGGGGTTATTCGTCTCTTCGGTGACTCCACTGGTCTGGGGTTCTTCAGAAAGATATGCAGCAAGGCTGGCAATGGTGAAATGCTCATACAGTTTTGGCACCGGCACTGGCCGACACAGAATCTTCTCCAACTTGGTTTGGACCTGGATGATGCTAGCAGAGTTGCCGCCAATGTGGAAGAAGTTGTCCTGCATGCCAATCTGACTGTGGCCCAGTACATTGGTCCAGATAGCCAGCAGCTGTTGTGTCAGTGTGGAAGCGGGCTTTTGCGCCGGTGTGATAGTCGAGATGGGGTCGGGTAGTGCTCTGATATCCACTTTGCCGTTGAGAGTAGAAGGAAATCGGTCGACTTCGACGAAGAATGAGGGGACCATGTATCCGGGGAGGCGGCTTTCTAGCCAGGGGCGTAGCAACTTGGCTAGAGGAACATCTACGCTGCCAACACCCGGCTTTCGTATACAATAAGCGACGAGCCGCTCGTCTCGATTGACCACAACGGCATTGGCAATAGCTCCGTGAGCTGTGATGGACGCCTCAACATCACCAGGGTCAATCCTTTGCCCGCGAATCTTGATTTGCGTGTCTACCCGACCGATGACGGCCAGTCTCTTGGGGCCCAAGAAGCATGCCAAATCTCCAGACTTGTACATGGTATGGCCTTCCCAGAAAGGGTCCGGAAGAAAGGCAGCCTTGGTACGTTCTGGATTGTTTCGATATCCACGAGCAACGCCTGCTCCGCTGATATACAGTTCGCCAGTGCTTCCAACCGGCACAGGTCGCATGTCGGTGTCGAGGACATATAGCCGTGTGTTTGGGTTAGGCGTTCCAATTAAGATGTCCTCGCGGACTTGGACTTTCCAAGCAGCCACGCTGGCTGTTGTCTCAGTCGGGCCGTATAGGTTCCATACTTCGTCAACACACGCGGTTAGACGCTCTGCCAGGCGAGGTGACAGTGCCTCGCCGCCGGTAACCAGCCTCGAGAAGCCTGGCGTGCCAGACCAACCGCTGTCCAGCAGCATCTGTAAGATGGTCGGCGTCGCGACGGAGAAGGTGACGCTGTGGCGTTCAAGGAGATGTATCAGCGCGCGGGGATCGCCGATCTCGTGTGCCTGTGCCTGCACGACCGTGGCGCCGCATAGCAATGGCACGTAAATCTCAAACGCGGCCATGTCAAAGGAAATTGTGCTCTTGAATAGCACGCGGTCCTGGTCAGTACAGCCAGGTCTTTGGTGTACCGACAACGCATAATTGCATATAGCGGCGTGATGAATTTCCACGCCCTTGGGCTTGCCCGTGGAGCCGGATGTGTAAAGGATATAGGCAATGTCGTCTGCTTGGATATCCACAGCTGGCTTCTTATCCGCTTGATATCTCATCTGGTCTCGCAGTTCGCTTGTCGTGCAGCAGGCTGCCTTATGACCATAATCATATCGACTGGTGCCCGTCCCCCCTTTGGTACTAGCAGAACTAACTATCACCAGGCGTAGCGCCTCATCATCCAGCATCTGGTTGACACGCTCGGGGGGTAAAGCAGGATCAACGGGTACATATATCGCACCGGCTTTCAAGACACCGAGAATGAACATGATCAGGTCCGGTGTGCGGTCTAGTGCAAGAGCCACCACATGGCCACGGCTGATGCCTCGCGATAGAAGGAGGCAGGCCAGGCGATCCGACTCAGATGCAAGAGCACCGTATGTGATGGTATGGTCCCCGCAGACTATCGCGGGCTTTGGGGAGTATTGTGTCTGAATCTGACTAAAGAGAGAAACGACATTGTGACCAAGCTTAGATGGGTCGTCGGTAAGGTTGAAGTCGTTTTCTGGTACCATGGCTGTTGTTTCTTCCTGAGTCTTCTCTATCCTCTTCTGAACTAATTTCGGGGGAGGAAAGAACCACAGCAGCAGGTAAAACTCGTAGAATGAGAACAAAGAAGGAATTACGATATATCGAATTCGGCCGGTAAGGTATACTGTCTAATACTAAGGCAAGAATGGGTGGCACCACACTCGCCAGGCCCGTATATCACAAGCTGGTATTATACTGCTATCAAAGCGGAACTTGCGGTGTGTGTATGCGATATCTATTCCCTGCGCATTCTAATACGCGTCATTCCTATGGATTCGTTACTGGCTACACTGTCATACCGGAAACCTTTCGCTGCTCAGTCAACGATGTCGTTATCACTGGATATCAAGAGAGACAGGTCTATCATTGTCTAGATTGCTAAAGTTGCATAGCTGACGGATAAAATTCAAGCAAGGGGCTCTACTGCATTGATTCTGCTGTTACGGACTACTGGAGAGACATACAACTACTGTAAGGGTTATCAGTTCGGCGCCTCAGCAAGTGACGATAATATGGCTTCTATATAATAAATGGGACCGTTTTCCAGCAAGGAATTCCCATGGAGTGGTCTACCATTGGCCGAAGAGCTATCAAGTAAAGCGCTCATAGGAAACAATGTAGGCAAGGGAGGGGGGAATGACAGGAAGACAAGACAGTGAACATTCCTGTCAGACAGTACGTATAGTCACGAAAGACAACATGATAGAACAGAATGGAAAGTCAAAGCTGTTCGAGTGCTGTCATTGGATGGATAAGACATGACCTGCGCAAGCGGGTGAGACGGCATGGCAGTCTAGATTTGACGTCTTCGCAAGGAACGCTTGGGTGGTGTTTTAGCATCCAGCCCTGCGACATTCTTTTCATTACCACCAGGGGCGCCCATCTACCTCCCATAGTTATCTTGTTGCCCTCGATTTCAAGAGAAAGGTTGAACAAAAGAAAAGAAGAAGATACACAAGCACACTCACTCTCACGTCCACCCCAAATCAGCCATGACAGCTTCACCAAAGACTCCTTCGGCCTTGGAAGAAGGCATTGCACTCTATACTCCCTTTCTTCTCCGCTACTTCTACGATTTCTGGGTTCTATGGGTTTCCAACAACTTTGCATGGAAATGCCCAACCTCAACCGTTCAACTCCCATTGTTTAATGCCGCCATGGGCCAGAGCCACCTAGACATTGGCGTCGGCACGGGTTATTATCCAGCAAAGAGCCTAAAGGCCGGTGCCAAATGCACTGAGGTCACCCTCCTAGACCTCAGTCCCAACTCGCTCCAGGCTGCCGAGCAGCGTATCTTGGAGACGGTAGGCCGTGAGGCGGTTCGTGTGAATACCGTCGTGGCCTCGGCCCTGGAGCCACTGCCCTTCGACAAAACCAAGAAATTCAACTCGATTAGTGTCTTCTTCCTGTTGCATTGCATTCCGGGAACACCTGAAGAAAAGTGCAAGTTGTTTGACGTGGTGCGGCCGCATCTGGCGGAGGACGGCGTTCTTGTGGGGACGACGGTCCTTGGTCAGGGTGTACCAATCAACTGGCTGGGGCAGAAGATGATGAACAGCTATAACAACAACACAAAGTCTTTCCATAATTCGGAGGACAACAAGGCTCAGTTTGATGAGGGACTTCGTCGGAACTTTGAGGAGGTGGAGTCGTGGGTTATGGGTCAGGTCATGCTCTTCAAGGCTAGGAAGCCAAGACAACAGCATGATGTTTCCAATGTAGTTCCGAAAGGGAACTTGGATTGATGCGGACCATCATGAAGCTGTCCAGTTAGGTAGTTTCTTGAGTAAGTAAAGAGAAAGGAGGGGCGTCCAATGGAGGAGGGAGGGGGAATAGCAGTGCAGCATATTGAACATCGAAGTTATCCTGCATTTTAGATGTTGCTATTCAGTTATAGCTTGTAATCATGCTATATCGGATAGTCTGAGCACACTGACGTCTTCTGAAGTAGAGGCCGTATTCTATAGACGGTAGACAATTGCACGTGCAAAGGGCATCCAGAAGCCAGCCCTTATCGGAATCACGTGAGCGATAAGTAGTGGCGCGGCGCGTATCGCCAAAACGCGCCGGTGGATAATTGAACAGTTTCATCAATAGATTGATCAGGGCAGGCGAATGCTGCATCTTCAACTTACCCTGAATCTAAGTATATGTACCTTTCCAGAAACCGTGCGTCGACCCCAGGTATCCTCCGCCAATTCCTTCTAAATGGTCCAGTCTTGAAATCCCAAACGGCCTCTACTAGATACTCCGCATCGCGAACTTTGCCGGTTGGAGAGGAAGCTGTGATGTTCAAGAAAGCCGTCAAGGACCATTCAGTAGCGTCAGCGACTCCGCTACAGTCCACGCTTACGCGCAGCAATAATGGAAATGCCTCGATGAGACCCCCGCCGCCGTCCGCAGGGGTCAAGCGCAAGATTGAGATGGCTACCGTGCGAGAGTCTAATCTGGGGTCCCTCCACGATGGTGTCTACTTCGATGAGAATGACTTTGACGACGATGACGACCTGGACTTTGAGGAACCCGATCCATTCATTGCCCCGGCCCCCATAACCAGACCGAGCGTCCCGAAACCTGAACCGCCCAAGTACCCGTCCCTCCATGGCATACCTGCGCAAGACGAAGAAATACCGATAGTCGACTTGACTTCACCCAGCAAAGCGGCGGCGGAGGTCAAGTACCCTGATTTACCCCCGGTTCCAGATGAGAGTGTCCCGCCTTCCAGCAGCATACAAATTCCATGGTCTTCTTCGCCCCCCTCCCACTTCCAACAACCGACTAGGAAGCCTCGAACTTTACCATGGCTGAAAGACGAGCCGGAACCAGAACCAGAGCCTCCATCTATGAAGCCGCAAACGCCTATGCGGCCGAAACAGACGGCTCCCTGGAACAAATCAGCTAGCGCGATTAAGGATGAGCAAAGGGAACTGCGTCGGCAGAACAAGACTATGAAGGCACAAGCAGGCGGCCAAATGCACAACCCTCGCACGAAGGTGGCCTCGATCTTCCTCAGCGATGAGCAACGCCATGTCTTGGATGCGGTTGTACAGCAAGGGAAGAGTATTTTCTTTACAGGATCTGCCGGAACAGGCAAGTCCGTGCTAATGAGAGAGATTATCAAGAAATTGCGGGATAAGTACAAGAAAGAGCCGGACAGGGTTGCGGTGACAGCATCTACTGGTCTAGCAGCGTGTAATATTGAGGGTGTAACTCTGCACAGTTTCGCAGGTATCGGGCTGGGGAAGGAACCTGTTCCGGAGCTTGTCAAGAAGGTTAGCATTGGGGTCGACCGATCATATCCAATACATATATGCTAACTAATTATAGATCAAGAAGAACCAGAAAGCTCGGAATCGCTGGATGCGCACCAAAGTTCTGATCGTCGATGAGGTGTCCATGGTCGACGGCGATCTCTTCGATAAGCTAGAGGAAATCGCACGTCGCATTAGGAACAACGGTCGTCCTTTCGGGGGTATACAACTAGTAGTCACCGGTGACTTTTTCCAACTTCCCCCCGTCCCAGAAGGGAGCAACCGAGAAGCCAAATTCGCATTCGCAGCAGCGACATGGAACACTTCCATACAACACACCATCCTCCTAACCCACATTTTCCGTCAACGAGACCCCGAATTCGCCGACATGCTCAACGAGCTTCGACTTGGAAAGATCTCGCCACGAACCATTGACACCTTCAAACAACTTTCTCGGCCTCTCGACTTCCATGACTCCCTCGAGGCCACCGAACTGTAAGCCTGACACACCCCCCATATAGCCAAGCCTGTTCCAAACCCAAGCACCCAGCTCACTCCATCCCCAGGTTCCCCACACGCCAAGAAGTTGAAAGCGCCAACGGCGCCCGAATGAGTCGCCTATCCGGTGAAACAATGACCTTCAACGCCGTCGACAGCGGCACAATCCAAGACCCCCAATTCCGCGAACGCCTACTGGCCAACTGCATGGCACCGCCAGTGATCCACCTGAAAAAGGGAGCACAAGTCATGCTCATCAAAAACATGGAAGATACGCTCGTCAACGGCTCCATCGGCCGGGTCGTGGCATTTATGGACGAAGCCACCTTCGACTATTACATCGACAACGAGAACGAATTCTCGGGAGCAGGAGGATCAGGCAACAACAGCGACGACGAGATCATGGCTCGTGCACGCAAGAAACTCAAGCCCATGGCCGCCAACAAGGACGGCAGTGGTCCCGGCGGCATCACGCTCACCCGCAAATGGCCCCTCGTGTGCTTCGTGCAGCCTGACGGAACGGAACGCCATCTGCTCTGCCAGCCGGAGACGTGGAAGATCGAGCTTCCAAACGGAGAGGTGCAGGCGCAGCGTCAACAGGTGCCGCTCATTCTGGCTTGGGCTTTGTCCATCCATAAGGCACAGGGGCAGACGCTGCAGCGGGTGAAGGTTGATTTAGGCCGCGTGTTTGAGAAGGGTCAGGCCTATGTTGCGCTGAGTCGGGCGACCTCGAAAGCTGGTCTTCAGGTTATGCGGTTCGAGGCGCGCAAGGTCATGGTTCACCCGAAGGTTACAGATTTTTATTCCAAGCTTGTTAGTATTAGTGATGTTATGAAGACTTCAAAGAAGTCGAAGTCGGGCGATGGTGGTGGTGGCGGTGGTCCGGATCCTGAAGATGATTTTGAGCAGGATTATCTAGAGCATTTATATGGCTGAATTGACGGTGTATAACATTCTTATGCCATTTGCTTATACTATCTGCACATTGTCAGGAAGGGATTAAATCATCTACCCTTCATTTCATGTGTATTCTTATGATGTGGTCCGGTGTGACTATCTATTGAGTTAATATCATTTATATGGTAGAATATAGTAGATACGGTATCTTCGCTCAATTGCTTCCTGCCTCAGCCAACATATACAGATGTAATACAGATATCTCCGAGTAGGTGGTATTACCTTTTTATCGAATCATCAAATCATCCTATATAAAGTAGGAATATAGAGTACTAGTAAGATCTAGGTATTTTCACGCTGATCTACTACTTCATCCTTTGTACTTCAGCACTGTACTTGAGTCCAAATCAAGTTTGAGTTTTGGTTTCCACCTCGTCCAACACCAGGGATGCAGGGTGTCGCCCCGTGAGCCCAGACGGTTAGATCGCCCCGCAGTAATGACAGATTGCCCTAAGAGGTTGTTGCAAGAGTCGCCAAGGTTACCTAGGGGGAGATATTGATGTCACTAGGCATTCTCAACCTATAGGCAATATTAGCCACTCTACTATCACCAGAGGTCAGTCTCAGCGCTCTGTCGAATGGCAATGAACTCACAACGCTGGTGCGTTTGCAAATGCTTTTGCAGGTGACGACTAAAGATGAAGTTGATGGTAAGAGAGTGAGTAGGTGGGTGGGTGCTGGCATCATCATTGTTGCCTGCTGCATCGAGACGGGCCCTCTGATGCCCTGCTTTAGCTTACCAAAAGAATTTGGAGGTACCAAGGACAGCTTTCACATGCTGAGCCTTTTGCAATGCTAGCAAAGCTATACGTGGTAGCAGTAGCTGGCATGGTTTTGTATAGTATCCCACCATTATGGTCTGTGCTTGCTACTTCCGCTGGGTTTTCGAGTATGTTTCTAGCTTGCACATTATGACATATCTTCCTTTCGTTGAAGATATGATATCGAAGTGTGCACTCAATCTGTGTCATTTATTTTCCTCGGGTATATTTGTGGTAGCCAATGAGACGACCCGAGTCGTTCGATTGACTCTCTGCAATAAAAACTGAGGTTCTGAGTTTCAGTTTCTGGAAGTCGGACGTTTGGTATTTGCGAGCGGAGTTTCTGTCGGCATTCCGTGAAGACTTCAACTGCTCGGTTTATATATATGGCGGAAAGGAACCATGATACGTGAACCTCCTGGCAAAATCAGGAGTGTCGGGTGGTTTCGTACAAAATCGTTGACATACTTTTCCGGGCTTCTATATTGGGTGTCCAGATGCCCACAGTTGATTGAGTCCTCAGGGGAGGCAAAAGATACCTCAAAGCCAAAATATCACAGAGTGGTTTGGTTCAGCGTTGGCAAGGAAGGTGATTGAAACAGCTTCTCCTCCTAGTACCTTTCTGGAACTCGTTCCTCAATGATTCGACACCTGAAGTCGACAAGAGAAAATGAATGTCGTACCAAGTAAACCTCCAGCTCAGCAATTGATTTCAAATCAGGTAACGAGACATAGTCTGTGTGAGTTTCACCTTTGGATGTGTAGCCTGCTATCACTAGATTCCATTGTATATGTCATTAAGCGTTGTAATATCTTGCCCACATGGCAATATATATCAGCTCGGCTAGTCATGGGGGAAATATAGTTGTATACGAGGATCAGAAACAAGGGGAACCAAGCACTGATACGACGATGATTGGCAAAACAAGCGCAGCTTCCACAGGCTGAGCATTGTCGTGGTATAAACCCCCCAGGCACGTAAAAGACAAAGAAAGTTGATTCGAAAATGTCTGGGTGCTTTAAATCGCCTTTCATTGGAGTTTTCAATTTATTGCCTGGCAAAGAACCAACTTCCAATCTTTATAGCACTATAAACCAAAGCTGTGACCTCACTTCAGCTGGAAGAGGCACGCTAGGGCTGGTTGCCGAAGCATTCTCTCCAACTATAATACCAAAGCATCAATGGTATCGAGAACCTCGCGAGGTTTCTGGGCAAAACCTGTCTTGTGGAGACTTATGGTAGAAGTTGTAAAGTTTCCCGCGTATTATAGTCCATGAACTGTTAGAGCAAGAGTGGACTTGCCTTCCTGCTGTAGTTGGTGCCTGTATGTCGAAGCTATTCAAATGTGAGACACCCAATGTTCCGGAGGTCAGTGGCCCAGACTCAGGCCTGAGCGCCCCGAAGGCCTTGGAGACCAAATCCAGAGGTTAGGTATCTTATCCACTCTTATAGGATTCCCCGGACTGGGATAAGATCTTTGCGCAAATAGGAGTATGGGATAACACCAGCATTTCATCGGTGAATTCCGAAGGTGTAGCTGTGGATTCAGAGCTAGAAGTAAAGGAGCTCGGTGGAATTTACCAGGAGGTATTCTGAGAGATACAAGGAAGGTCTCAGTCTATTCCTGTACAGAAAGTATTAGTACCAATTATACTGGTATGAGACAAGCTGCGAGACGAGGTGGAAGATACTATTAGTATAAATTGGAGCTGAACACATGCTACATATATATCATTCAGAAAAGCAATTAATTGAGCTAACAGAGCTGCTAAAGTAAGTGTTTATGAAAATTATTCACACGTATTAGTTACAATAATAGTAAGAATCAAGACTAGTAAAAATATGGAAGTAGAAGTGGAGATGCAGGAAAGGACAAAGAATGTATACTGAATTGACGTATCAAGCCTGCATTTGAGGAATAAATAAAGAATGATAGAGTCAGTACCCATGGCTAACTTAAGATGAATGGAGTGAATATAATTCAGTCAAAGATGGATGATTCAATGGCAGTACATAGGGTTTGTTAAAACAGGATCTAACTACCTAGGATGACTAGTCTAAAATTGTGAGGAAACATAAACCCCACCGAGCGGGTCTCATGCCTCCCTTATCGATAAGAGCCCAGCCACACGTGATGCCCGAGCCAAGAGCAAAGCAAGCAAAGCAAGCAAGCACAAGCTGACCCCAATCCACATCCACCTTTGGCGACCTTGTCGGGGCTCCTTCCGGTCCGTGGCGTGTTCTATCCCCGGCCCTTTGGACAGCGATTGTACTCGTGCAGACTGCCGATCATGGCGGCTGAATTTATCGGCTACGATGTGCTTGTGACGCTGCGAGCGCCACCAAATGCAACTGTGCAGGGAGAAGTGGCTAATGTCATCGGTCAACGTCTCATGCTCCGAAATGGTAGGTATAAGCCTTCTGCCCCCCTCTCACTGTCTAGCATCACCATCCCCACTTTGTAAGGATCTAACATTAACTCTCTCATTCAGTGAAACTTTCCTGGATTGGACACCCGCTCCCTACGTATTCAATTGAAGCGCCCGACATCGCGGATCTTTCTTTGGGATCTTCGACTCCGCGCATCTCACAGCGTCCGCCTCCGCCTCCGCCTCAGGGATCTCAAAACATAGTCCCCGCACCTCCGCCTCCAACTTCATCGCAAAGCTTCGTGGACCCGGCGATTCTAAGCTTTTCGAAGCCACCTTCTGCGCCATCTGGCCAGGGTGCAGACTCGGGTCCGGTACAGCTTCCAGCCCCTTCCATTAGCCGGTCCACTTCACAAAACTTTCAACTCCCGCAAGTGGCTCATCGTGACCAAGCAGCTGTGCTCAACGAACCGTTCAGTAACCTGGAACTTGATGTTGGAAAGACCGCGAATGAGAGTCGCAGCGCCGTGCCAAGTGGCCCTGTTCCCGCTGGAAGGGAGAACATTGTTTCATCGCAACCAACCCCGCAGTCCGCCGCGAAAGCCAGTCGTCGCACTGGACAACCAAGGACCCCAAAGGCAGTCAATGAACACGATGGGGCGACGAATACGGACCCAAGAAGCAAAGGCTGGCGTCAGACTGCTTTCGTCGAGCCGTCTTATCCGCAGATGAACAAGTCGCTCAATAAACAACGCCGGAAAAAGCGGAATAACAGATCGAATTATGTGGAGGACCCTAATGGCTGGGCTACAGAGGATGCGACGGATATCCAGGAGATGGGCGAGTTCGACTTCCAGAGCAACCTTTCCAAATTCGACAAGAGAAAGGTGTTTGAAGAAATTCGTAACGATGACACCACTGCTGATGAAGACCGGCTGGTCAGCTTCAACAGGAAAGTACCAAAGCCTGGAACAAATGGCGGGAAGAATTTACATTGGACAGAAAATGTCCTTGACAGCCCCGAGGAGACCGAGAGCGAGGATACCGACCAGGTACCCAGCGATGCAAAACTAAGCAGCGGCACCTATTCGGGGCGGGAACGGTCGAGGACGTCCCGCGCACCGAGCTCTCGCAAAGGAAGCGCCATTTTGGGCCAGCCATTGGTGCCACCGCAGATCAATTCCCTCGGGCGCAGTCAGCTAAGCACGTCTCGCACAACCAGCCCTCGACCCAACAAGACTTCCGTTTCAGCATCCCCGATAAGCGCCCCTGGTGTACCTGGAGGCTCATTGCGGCTCACCACAACCAATCGAAGCTGCCCAACTGTCAGTCCATTGCAAACGCTCGAGGTTGAGCAGATTGCAGTTGCCGAACTGGGGCTTACCGAGGACATGATTACGGAAAATACGGGACGTGGTATTGCGGAAGCTGCTGTTGGGCTCCTCACCAGCGATGCCGCTGCGCCCACGATGCTGGTGCTCACAGGCAATCACCGGACCGGCGCACGTGCCGTATCTGCGGCTCGCCATCTCCGCAATCGAGGCCACCGCGTGACTGTCTGTATGCTAGGCATCGAGCACGACAATGAGTTGCTAGAAAGTTGTCGGAAGCAGCTGGATGTCTTCAAGAAAATTGGCGGCCGAGTACACCGATGGGAAGACCTATCGACCCGGCTCTCTACATCGGAATTTGCGCCTGACTTGGTTGTCGACGCCTTGTTCGGGATTCACATAGCATTTGATGACCTTCGCACGGATGACCAGGCCACTGCCTTTGAGATGATATCTTGGGCCAACCGGAGCAACCTGGAGATTTTGTCTGTGGACGTACCTTCGGGGCTGTCTGCTATGAGTGGTGAGTATGCCGGATATTGTACCCTGTTATAACGTCGGTGCTAACGTATTTTATAGGCGAAGTTACTACAGTAGAAGGCGGCCGGCTATGCGTCAACTCGAAATCCGTGGTCTGTCTCGGGGCTCCTAAAACTGGGGTTGTCACTGCGCTACTCTCCGGGGAGGGACTATCATGGAATCTTTCTGTGGCCGACATTGGTATTCCTCAGATAGTCTGGAGAAAATATGGTAGTCGGCGGCGACATGGTATCGACTTTGGAAACCGGTGGGTGGTACCATTGCGCTACCAGCCCCCTCCCGTATGAGTCCTTGAACGGGGTGGACATGCTTAATGATGATTCAATGACCATGGAGGTAAACAAAATGAGCCATACAGTGGGGCGTTACTGGAAGACAGGAATATCCCACGATCAGTGCGTGGTTTAGTGGTGGAAAAGGGATGATTTATAGTGACGATGGCGCCGTTGTGAGCGTCGCTTACATTATGTATGTATGATAGTGTGTAGTGTAGTTTAGCAATTGATATGACCTTACGCCATGTCTACCTTGGTTTCTGTTTATAGTCTAATAACGAATGCTCGGCTGGAGATGCCAATCCCGTGACTGGTATCATCCGCGTATAACGGTTACAGAACGAGGGTCATCTGCGGACGGCCTAGCCAAAATAGGCTAGATCTGGAAACGGCAATACATCATATTCCAGGCCTCGGGGCGCGGCGACAGGATCGCAAATGTGAGAGCTGCTGCACCAGGCATCTAAAGCTTCTGTCACCAGGATGGGAAAAGGTTGGTTCGGCAAGATTTCTCCGCATATCTATACGCAAAGCTAACCTATTTGCTCACTTGCTTAGGGACCGATAAGTTATATGTATGAACACTCCCCGTTGAAGATTTGTTCTTCCCCCTCCGCGCTCTATCGCTTATCGGACCTCGCATGAACTGACCCAACGACTTGTATAGATTACACACTCTGAATGGGCGTCGGAGGATGCATTCTCCGCTAGTGCTGGAGCCGGCGTGGGCAGAGCAAAGCGAGGAGGAGTAGATACGGCCTTCAAGCGCCTTCCCTTCAACTTCTGCTCCCTTTCACTACAACCGTTTTCGCACCCGGTTTGCACACCGTCGGGCACCATCTTCGATCTCACCAACATTCTCCCCTGGATCAAGAAACATGGAACGAATCCAGTAAACGGCGCGCCGCTCAAAAGCTCCGATCTCATTAAGCTGCATCTCGCGAAGAACGAATCTAACGAGTATGTCGATCCGGTCACGTACAAGGTTTTCACAGACAACACGCACATTGTCGCGCTACGGAACACGGGGAATGTTTTCGCTTGGGATACGGTCGAACGGTTGAACATCAAGGGAAAGCTGTGGCGTGATCTGGTTACAGACGAGGAGTTCACTCGCAAGGACATCATTACGTTGCAGGACCCGCAGAACGTCGAGTCGCGGAACTTGAGCTCTTTCAACTACCTCAAGGAAGGCGAAAGTGGATTGACGGATGAGCAGATCCGGGAACGGGAGGATCCTTCGAACAATGTGAACGTCAACGCGCTGGGCAGTTCGGCCAAGATCCTGAAGGCCAAGGAAGCTGTGGCCAAGGCGCGCGCAGAAAGATCACAACGTGTTGGTTCTGTAACGGCTTCGAAAGATTTGGCTAAATCTGGAAGTGCGGGAAATGCGGCGCAATCTCAAAAGACGGCGTCATTTCAATCTGGCAAGGCTGTGCCGTATAATGCGGCCAAACACACTACTGGTTTGGCCGCCGCCTCACTCACCAGTACGGGAATGACGCCCCACACCTCTGCCGAGCTTGCGCTTTTGTCCGACGAGGAGTACATGCTGAAGAGAGGGCGAGTGAAGCAAAAGGGCTACGCTCGTATCTCGACCAATCTCGGAGATGTGAATTTGGAATTACATACGGAGTACGCACCGAAGGCCGTGTGGAACTTCATCAAGCTGGCAAAGAAGGGCTACTATAGAGATGTCGCTTTCCATCGCAACATCAAGGGGTTCATGATTCAGGGTGGTGATCCTTCTGGTACCGGAAGGGGTGGTGAAAGTATCTGGGGGAAGTACTTCAACGACGAGTTCGAAGGTCCACTGAAGCACGATTCCCGGGGTACCCTCAGTATGGCCAACAAGGGCAAAAACACGAACAGCAGTCAATTGTAAGTTCCCACGATGGAGATGCAGGGCCTGCGCTAACAACTTACCCCTTGACTAGCTTTATTGCTTATCGTGCCTTGCCCCATCTCAACAACAAGCACACTATCTTCGGTCATGTCATTGATGACCCCACGCCCTCCTCTACGACTCTGAACAACCTTGAAGTGCACCCGACGAACCCGACTACTAACCGACCTACTCCGGACATCCGCATTACCGATGTGACGGTGTTTGTGGATCCGTTTGAAGAGTTCTTGAAGCAGAAACAAACCGAGGAGGCCAAGGCGAAGGGCCAGATTGTTAACCCCGAGGAGGAAGAGCAGAATGCGCGTCGCGCCGAAGACGACCGGATGACCTGGACGGGCAAAAGAGTCCGTGGCGCAGGGGGTGGAGCGAAAGACGAAGGCTCTGGCGGGGTCGGCAAGTACCTGAAAGCCGCGCTGGCCGAGAGGGCTGGGCAGGAGGAGGATGAGATTGTGGAATTTGTAGATGATGAGCCCGAACCCGAGCCAATGCGGAAGAAATTCAAGGGCGGAGGTGGGTTTGGGGATTTTAGTTCATGGGATTAGGGAGCTCATATATATGGCGATCATATTATTTTATGTGTATAACAATAGGCGTTGATGATCACAATTATTAGTGGTTGGGCTTGGTTTACTGTATGATTCAAATATTCTGTAGTGGTGGTTTTGGGGCTATTAAGGGGATGTTCCGAACTTAAAATACCGCAGGCAACATCATGGTATTAAGTACAGGGAATAGATTAATTGGGAAAGTGAACATTTTGGCACTATCACTAATAATATGAAGGCTTGCAATGCTTTTTCACTTATCTCTCATCTAGACCTTGCCGCTGCGTCATCCTCCACGCACCATCCTTTCAGGGTCACGTTATAACGACCGCAATTGACCGCCTCCCGAAAATAGTAACCAGACTGTCCGATCGGCTGGGAACTGGTGTAAGTGGGACTTGTGCTCAGTAGTGAGTGGGAGTAGTGCTGGTGTGCACTTAACTTGCTGGGCACGACATGGCAAGTAGTACCAAGTACCAAGTACCCTTTCTTCTAGCGTGCTTCCCACCCGGAGGAACCAACGATTGCTAATAATAAAGGACCCCATCCCGAGCCCGCCTCACTTACCACCACCACTTACTACTTACTACTAGTATTACCTCCGATCCATACCAACTTCCTTCTTTTCCCTTTCCCTCTTCCCCCCCATCATCGCAACATCCAACTGTTGCGCATCTCCCCCCCTTTTTTTTTCTGTTGAATCTTCTCCACATCCTTTTCGACATACGACCCAGCCTATCGCCAATTTCTCTCCCTATTTCCGTGAGTGTCCTTGATTCCTTTTGCATCCTCGCTCTCCGTGGTCGCTCTGTAACCCTGTCCCCTCCGGCGCGCAGTGGGGTTGGTTCGGAAGGTGAGAGCTTAGGACGCTTGCTATAACGTGCCTTTCTTTAGCTTCTGTCTGAACTCCCGACATGGATGCATTTATTCCGGAATACTTCTCCCTATGTTTCGAATTACTTTTCTGCCACTGTTCGCTTGTCGCCGGAAGAAGGGTGTATATAGCCGCTCCACAGCATGCATCCGGCGTTGCCTGACCACGATGTCACTTGCCCGCCCGCATTGCTGGCTGGAAGCCATCGGAATCTTCAAGCAGATCCCGCTACCATCGTGCTTAGCTGGAAACTTGGTCTTGTAGTGGATCGAGACGCTGACATGCCTTGTCTACCCAGCTAGATCATCTCGCCTCCGCCGCAATTCACATCCTACGTCAGTCCTCCCGGCGGCTTTCATTCTTTGGCGCTCCCCCCCCCTTCCCCACGCGCCGCCGCCGCCGCCCCCCTCCGCACTCTTTCGAACATTTGATCCGGTTTTAAGCCCCCCTACCCATCAACGATCATCAAGCTGGCAGGGAATAAGCGGAGAAGTTTTTCTAGCCAGGGTGGGTTGCTGAACAGAATGTTCAGTGGCTCCTCGAGCCCACCCAAAGACAAGACAGATTCCATCACTCGTTCCGGTGCCATTGACACGCCTCCCTTGAGCATCCACACCGAGGAAGCCAGCATCAGCCAGAAGAAGTCCTCTCCTCCTGGCGGCTTTTTCACCCGGCGGACCAGCGAGGACCAGAACAACTCTGGTGGCGAGAAGAAGCGCCGGAGTAGCACCGTCACCAAGGCAGCATCCTTCTTCACCAGCGCTAAGAACTCCCTCAGCCTGTCGAGCAGTCCGCGCGAGAACTCCTTCAACAACTACACCATCCAAGAACAGCCTTCGTTGAACAGGCTTGGGAGCATGGACCCAGCTCTGAGTGTTCCCCAAGGGTCGTTTAACAATTCGGCTGGAGAATCACTTCCCACTTCTCGCTCTTCGTTCAAAGTTGGCGTGACAGAAGATCGGAATCGAAAATGTCGCCGGACTATGGAAGATACCCATGCCTACCTCTACAATTTCTTGGGGACCCCCGCACCTTTAGCCCAGGCTGAGAACAATGGCAAAGCCCTCCCGAGTCCCACTGCCCCCTCGCCCACTTCTGAAGAACCCCCCGCGACCGTCGTGGAAACCGACAACGGTTATTTTGCCATCTTTGATGGACATGCAGGCACCTTTGCGGCGGAATGGTGCGGGAAAAAGCTGCATCTTATCTTGGAAGAGGTCATGCGGAAAAACCCCAACACACCTGTTCCGGAACTCCTGGATCAAACGTTTACCAGCGTAGATCAGCAGCTGGAAAAACTACCTGTGAAGAACAGTGGTTGTACTGCGGTCATTGCCCTCCTCAGATGGGAGGACCGCGTACCCAGTCCGCATTCTGCGACGGGATCGGCGGCCCTTGCGCCTGCCGCTGCCGCTGCCTCCAAGGGCGACGCCGATTCGGATGCAGGTGATACGCCTACTCAGGCCGCCGTATCAGGCGGTGCGGCGTCTATACTTCCCAAACTACAGGAGAAATCCCTCCGTCAGCGTGTCCTCTACACTGCTAATGTGGGAGATGCCCGCATTATCCTGTGCCGCAACGGCAAGGCACTTCGTTTGTCCTACGATCACAAGGGTAGTGATGAGAACGAGGGGAAACGGATAGCTAATGCAGGAGGATTAATATTGAACAATCGCGTCAACGGCGTGCTTGCCGTGACTAGAGCTCTTGGTGATGCGTATCTCAAGGATCTGGTAACCGGACATCCGTATACTACCGAAACCGTGATCCAACCCGACTCAGATGAGTTTATCATCCTCGCTTGTGATGGTGTAAGTTTGAACTCTCTATCTCGCTTAGAGCCTTCTTGCTAACAGAGATTATTAGCTCTGGGATGTGTGTAGCGACCAAGAAGCGGTAGATCTTATCCGCAATGTGCATGATGCCCAGGAAGCATCCAAGATTCTGGTCGACCATGCTCTTGCGCGGTTCAGCACCGACAACCTTTCCTGTATGGTGATTCGCTTCGATTCTGACCGGGTGAAGGATGTCATCAACCGGACCGTGGAGCCTATCGGCGTGGACGGAGATCCTTCTTCTAATGTGGATCGCGGGATGAGCGAGGCCGATAAGATCATCGAAGGCGCCAGGAAGAGCATGGCCAGTGCGGGAATTGCAGATGATCCGACTACGGCTGCAAAGGCACAAGAAGAGATTCTGCAGAAAATGTCGAATGATGAGCCTGGGCCCGAGCTTTCCGTCAACGAGCACAGCCATGAGCAGGTGGTCAACAACCTGAAAAAGCCTGAGCCGAAGAATCCGAGTTCTTAATCGTTAGAATCCCAACTTAAAGGAATTTTAGTGAGACATTCTGTGCCGCGAGATAGAGAGACCGAGGCCACCTGGTCTAAGTCCGTCAATGGAGTTCTGCTGCTCTTCTCATCTCTTCCTTGAACATCTGTTACTTGTTCCATTGCTGCTGGCGTCGGTCGCGGACTTGCACACACCAGGCCCTCACTCTGAGACTTCGTTATCTTTTGCTTCTCTTCTGCCCAAGGGTCTGAGTTCTTGCATTGACACATGACCCTATTGTTCTTCCTGTCTATCTTCTCTTTTGATCCTTCATTCTTCTATATTCTCATCCCTCCTTCGTTTGGAGCTTTGATTTTCACATTTCTTACTTCGGCCTTTCTTTGCTTGGACCGGACGCCGGCAAAGCCAGGACAGGACCGGCTGGACAGTGAATGACATTTCCGCCGGGGACGCTTCGTTGTATCCTACCTACTATGGTGATGTAAATTTGACCTGCAGGTCTTTCTTTTGCCAGCTTTGCAGCAGACATTTAGCAATACATGAATTCAGTCGGTGCGCACCAGACAAAGAATGCAAGTAGATAGGAGTTCATGGTCTGCTAAGTGTCATTATATCATTTCCATAAAACAGTAATGTACCATCGTAGAATATCGATGAGCTCTATTCCCACGATCTATGTTGATGCTGATCACCTGACCCCTTCAATCTCTAGGTCGTTCCTTCCTACAACTTCAGTCCCAACATCTCTTCAACACCCACCGCATCGCCCATCGTCTCGCATCACGCGCCTGATGTACACCATTTCATCATCTCTCAACATATCATTGGTCTGCTTCCTGTTGAAACATACGGCGAAAGGCGATCAAAACAGAATACTCGAACAATGATAAACATCGCTAATCGACCTTTCGTCCAGCGAACAGCTGCCGACTCACAGTCCGCAGATCAAATCCCGCCCAAGCAACAATCAGCTTAATATAAACCCACCAGATAATCCATAGAAGTTGGTAAAAGGCCCGGTAAGGATAAGCTATCTTCCTGGCGAATATAGTCGAGCAATCATACATCTGCTTGCTGCGGGACGCTAGCCCAAATGCCCCGACTTTCCTGGTATTGAACAACCGCAATGTCCTTCTTTCTTCCACGCTCAACTTCGACATCAACTGCTCAGTCTTCTCTTCATGGAAGTCGAACGAAGTCCCAAAGATCTTGTACAGACGGCTGATCGCGTCTGATTTGGCACTCCACCCGTTCTCCTTCACCCACGTTAAACGAAACCGCCAGGGTAACCATCGGAGGTGGTAAACTGCCGCTTCTATCTCCCTGAAGGAAATCCGAGCTTTTCTGCCACTTACCGCGTGGACGCAGCCTTGAGTTTGGTAAGCCAGATGAGCCAGAAGGCGATCTACAACGATGTCAACAGGGACTTCGTCCAGGTTTGATTCTGATTCCGGGTCGTCCAGACGGCTGGACAATTCAAAGGAAAACGCTGTATGGTTGACAAACAAGGCCGCGATCATAGTCATTGGGGCCGACGTGGGAACCGCATACCCGGGATATGGAATGCTCTCGGCCGGCCCAATCACAGAAGGCCGTAAAATCAGCAATCGGTCGTACTTGCCGTGTCTTGTGAACCTGTCCGTGACTAGGCGCTCGGAAAGATGTTTGGCATACCCATAACCCCAGGGAAAGTCGTTGCTTTCGTATTCCTTGGTGGATCCTCGCGACTGTAGTTCCGAGTATTCCTCGTCCACAGTGGAATTACCATCATTGGGAGAGGTAGATTCAAGTGGTATTATACGCTCTTCCATTTCCACATCTCCTTTGGGAGACAGGCTGCACAGATGGGTATTAGTATACGCTGTTGAGACGTAAACAAAACGTTCCAATTTGTCACATTGGAGCCCCAGTTCGACAGCATACTCTGTGGCCCGGATAACGCTGGGCCACATCTTTTGAAGCCGCTGGGCAAGGTTGATTGAAGATGCGGCATGGATGATGATATGGACGTTCCGCTTCAACATCTCGATGTGATCAGTGTCAAGGCCTAGGCTAGGCTTCATCATGTCACCGTCTAGAATGGTGATGCGGGGGTGATCTAGAAGCCATTGCGCAGTATCAAACGGGAGATGTTGGTGCCATTTCCCGGACAGGCCACTGTTATGGTCAATACATGTAGGTCTTACACCATCTCTTCTTCCTACTGGAGTTTATGGCTTACCTTTTCCCTCCACGTTGCAGCAAGTATATGTGTTTGAACTCAACAGTTGTAGCGACTCGATGTACCAAGGCTGTGCCTAGGAAGCCGGACCCTCCGGTGATGAATATAGTCTTTCCTTGATAATAGTCGAGCATATTGATCCTGATGCTCCAAAACCTACCCAGAGGAGAAACAAGCCTGCACCACGACTTTTCAGGTCTAAACAGGGAGGGTTGACTTTTGGGTTACAACCGGGGTGCATAAATACTTCGCATGGTCACACAGCGTCCACAGATCGGCAGAAGGTATATGTAGTCACGTCACCGCAGTATGCATGATCTATTGCAGGGGGTGCATAGCTGAACCTGATCGATCCTGAGACCACCATGGCCTAGTACAGTAACTGAGATGGGGCTTGGTGTGATCCAGCAAAAGAAAAGAGCATTATTGAATTTGATATTCACCGGTGGGTCTCTTAAGGCGATCATGTGAAAAAGGGAGTCAGCAAGGAGGCCAAGGCCTTGGGGTACACAAAACTCTATACAAGCGCGATTACTGTTCGTGCAAAGTTCATTCCACGAATTCTTGGATTCAGGGCTAACAACCGATAGTCATACTGTACATCTCCCTTTTCGGTAATGTGACCACAGATATGGGCGAAACCCTACTTTGGCAGACTGCGAAAAGGCCGGGAGTGGCACCCATTGGTCCACTGGTGGCATCTAAGTCACAGGCGCGTTATCAACCGCTTCCTAACTATCCGAGTAGGAGTAATGATTTAGCAGCTGCAAACAAACAGGCGAATCCTATCTAATGGTCTTAGTGGGCTGGCAAAATTCAAGGCTCGATTGATAAGGGTACGGATCTTTTGGCAAATTGCTCAAGAATTTATCTACTATTGAGCTGCTAATTCCTTAAAGGGTAATGGTGGTGCTCTTCAGCCGCACGAGATCCATCGCAATTCAGCTCGAGAGAAGATCGTGGGCTGCCAGATCCGAGACCCACTGGCACTATCTTCGGCGAATAGATCCTATGAGCTAAGTTTTGCGAGAACAATGGTCTTGGAAGCCAGAGGTCAGCTACATATGTCTTTGATTTGAGCGCAGCTGACTTTTCTCTAATTAGATAACATATAGCATGCTTCTTGCAAGCTGCGATATTTATCCACGTGGGGCAGAGTCGTCCAATTTCTCCATATCTCAAGACTCAAAGGTTTCCATTGTGGAGTGCTCACTAGTAGGTATGAATTCCTGGAAATTTGCATTTTAGGGAATTATTATTCAAATTTGGCCAATGAACAGGTGTGACTCTTGTACTGATAGTCCACTATAGGAACAAGCGCCATGGCGGGGCAACTGAGGAATCTAATCCGCAGTATAGATAGCTAGCTTCAAGATGTTTCTGAACATCAGAGCTCGTGAAGATACCTGAATATGTATTGTCTCCACAAATGGGGCCAGACGGAGTTACTATCTTCGATTTTCGATTACTTGAGACAGAGGCAAATTCCAGCCAGCACTAGGCTTGCTAGAAGCGATGGCTGAAAGGACGAAGGGCTAATGGCTCGCTACATGATGGGTATATCAACCCATTGATTCATCCAAAAACATATAATTTACTCACGTATAGTAAAGGCCACCCAAAATGACAACCTACCAGTTTCACGGCGTCATCAAATCCGTCACTGATATCGACCGACGCAAATGTCGCCGCGAAGTACCTATGCAAGTCCTGGCACTTGGACTCTGCCGGACAGGAACAGACTGTATGGTGTGCATTTAAGATAGGCGATGTGTTTTACCGCTAACGAGAAGTAAAGCATTGCGACAAGCTCTCCGAGCCCTAGGGTACAATGACACCTATCACGGATACGCAGCAGTTCTGGAGAACCCTCGCGACTGTGAGATGTGGCATGCTGCTTTGGGCGCTAAATACGAAGGAAAGGGCCGGCCATTTGGTCGAGAAGAATTTGATCAGATCTTGGGGCATTGTCAGGTATGTCTTAAACCCCGTTGAGTAGATGAGAGAAAGTTACATACTAAGACAGATAAACTGACCACTGCTACTATAGGCTGTATCTGACTTCCCAGCAGCCTGCTTCGCAGACGAATTAATCCAAGCTTATCCAGAAGCCAAAGTAATACTGACAGTCCGAGACGTGGACGATTGGCACAGGTGCGTTCAATCCCTTACACACCTTAATCATGCAACACACAAACTCTTATACCAAAGCTACAGATCCGTCAGTAAATCATTCACCCCCCTTCTCACACACCCCCTCCTCCCCCTCTCCACTATCCTGGAGAACTTCCTCCTCTCCAGAACGCGCTGGGTCCTCCCAACCTGGCAAAAGATCTGGAAATACTACTTCAACGCCAACTTCGACGCCAACGGCCGCAAAGCCTTCGAGGCGCATAATAGCCACGTCAAGGACATCGTGCCGGCTGAAAACCTCCTCGTCTATCATGTCAAGGATGGGTGGGAGCCGCTGTGCGAGTTCCTGGGAAAAAAGCCTCCCTTGGATGGGAATGGACATGTGGTGCCGTTCCCGAAGGGGAATGATCCAGGGATCTTCCGGAATAGGTTCCGGGATGCTATCTGGTATAACTTTTTGGAGTTGGGGGAGAGGGTGCTTAGGGTTGTTGTGGTTTTGTATTTTGGGTATTTGTGGGTGGGGTGGGTTTGGGGGTGGATGATCCATTCATGATAAGTCAGGTTGACTTCTGATTTTTAGTGTAGGGAATGGAGTTGGTGGAGGTATAATATCAAAGATCAGTGGGGTGTGATATGCTCAAACGCCATTGCATCATTTCTCTAA